CTCCTCACCCACCTCTCCCACTCTTCCCTCCACGCCGCCACCCACTCCGCCACTCACGACCCCCCCGCCCGCCGTGATCTGCACTTCTACCACTTCGTCCTCGCTGCCGAGCTGCGCCTCCTCCTCCGCGACGTCGACGCGTCCCCGCCGCGCCAGTACACCTACCCCGAGTGGACGTACTACCTGCATCTGCTGGGCCAGCATGAGTGGGATCCGACGCAGCATCGTGCGCCGCCGGTGAGCCCGCTGCCGAGGGATGTGCCGCAGGTGGGGTTGGCAGGGGGGCGGTTAGCGGGGTTGGGGAGACAAGTGATAAAGACGGCGCGGGGCATGGGTCCCCACCACCCCTCATCACCCCCAACCACGAACGGCAAAGGGGAAGAGGAAGACGAGAGCGCGGACACGGAGCACGAGCGGCTGAAGTGGAGTTGGTTGGGGACGCGGAGCCCGCTGATGGGGAATAAGAGCGAGGCGGAGTGGATTTTGGAGCGGATGAGTCGGTGTTTGGAGAGAGAAATGGCGTGGCGGGATGATCCGGGGGGGAGGCCGGGGTGGGAGCCGCCGGTGAGTGTGGAGGCGTTGCGGAGGGTGGAGGAGGGGGGGGATGGGGATGATAAGGAGGATGGGGTGATGTAGGGATGTTGGAGATGAAAGAGTTGAGGGAGCTTGGAGTACTATGTAGTCAGGCGTCCTGTGACATCATATGGTTGGAGATTGTCAGCGAGGGATCATGTTCATAGACAGACGAATTACGACACCACATTCCGCATCCAGAAACCAAAATCCCATGATATGAATTCCATTTCCCGAGCTAATTACGCTGCTTGCTTGCTTCCGGTTGCACTGTCGATGTTTTAACAATTTGGTTTCCTCCCCTGCTTTTCGCTCCGTCTCCGTCCTCTAATTTTTTCGTTTTCGGTCCACAGCAAAAGAATCGACTCTTTTGTGTCCTTAAACCTCGTCCCCTCTCTCGAGCGTCATCCCACTCAATGCAAACCATCAGCGCGCAGCAGGAAGATGCGTTATAAACCCAGAAGCCATTTGGAAAACGTGCCCCTCGTCCCCTGATGAGCCCTCCACCTCGTCGCGAGCTCTGTTCATAAACCTCCCCAGTAGCCGCCCTCAAGATCGGACGCAGGAAGAGCACAAGCACTGGTTGATCGAATCGGACGGGGGCGGATGCAATTTGGCGGTAGTGATGATGCGGGATGGTCAATTTGAAAATGAAAAACAGTAGTGGGGGATAATGATGATTGGGTGATGGGGATGAGTGGGGATATGGGGGAATCGCATAAGCAACACACAAGGCAAATTGGGTGCGGAATATTGGGATCGGGCGATGGATGGGCCGCAGAGACAGGTGCCAGAGGAGGCATGCCAACCGCGAAGAAATGACCATCGTACGCACCGAGATCCAATCAAGGGAGATCAACCGGACGCATGGCCCAGCGGATCAATCAGTGAAAGGAAACCAAAGACCCAGAAGACTCAGACCGTGGAAAGGAGATGGAGAACCAGCCATCCAGACCGTTTAGGACGGCGAGGCCGCATTTCCCAGTCCCATTCGGTGTTGATCGTGTCGAATTCGCAACCGAGTCGTCGCCGAATGTAGGTGTGTATGCTTTCCGAAAACGCAGAAACCCTAGCCCAGAATAATGATCTTTGGATCCGAAGAAATGACCCGTTCGAAGAGGAGATGCCGGTCCGATGTGTCGAGTGAAGAGTCAAACTTCATCCGTTGTGTTCAGGGAAGTTCGTTCCGTAATCGATTATGCTGCCCCCGGGTTCGCGGTTCCGTTGCCCTGTGAACCAATGCGTTAGCACAGGTCATTCAACGTCTCCCATGCACACGACAGCGCTTCGAAAGCAAGAGCAGTTTCTTCGACAAGCACCGAGGCAGAGAGGAAGACGGGTGTGTCTCGTGTACAATGGAACTCACAGTCCGGTATTCCCTCTGCTGCGCTTTGGGTCGCTGCTACTTTCCCTATTGAAATGCGAAAGACAACGATCAGCACACTGTCACGCACCTTCAGAGATGTTCGACCCCTTTCCAGTGAGAAAGGGATCTTTACATGTGCGCACTCACATTCCTCCAGTCTTGGTGCGCCTGGTGGTGTTAGTCGGCGGCTCGACGTCCTTGGAGTCGTCCGGAGTGGCAGCCGTCTTGGGCTGGAGCTTCTCGGTGTTCTTCTGGTACTTGTAGACAGTCCAGTCGAAGACGTAGTCGTATTGGAAGCCCTCGCGGACGAAGAGATCGCGGAAGATCTTGCGAAGGTAGGAATAGTCCGGCTTGTCATCGAAGCGGAGCGATCGAGTGTAGTTGAGGTAGATGGCAAACTCGTTGGGGAAGCCACGGCAAAGGACTTCGGTGGGCGTGGTCATCTTCTTCTCCATGATGCGATCGTACTTCTGCTTCTTAGTAGCAGCCTTCAGGCCTTGCCAGGGAAGGGATCCACGGCAGAAGTAGAGCATGACATAGCCGAGGGACTCCATATCGTCACGGCGGGATTGTTCTGAGATCGTTAGCATAAAGATTAGTCGTCGGAGAACGATGATACATACCGACACCCAAGTGGGTATTGATGGAGGCATAACGGGCCGTGCCGGTCAAGTTCTTGTTCTCCCTGTACGGGATATGGAAGTGAGTCTTGGGGTCACGGTACTTCTTCGCAAGTCCAAAGTCGATGACGTTGACCTGGTTTCCACGCTTGCCGATGCCCATGAGGAAGTTGTCCGGCTTGATATCACGGTGGATGAAGCTCTTGGCATGGATGTACTCGATGCGGGAGATCAACTGGTCGGCCAGAAGGAGGACCGTCTTGAGGGAGAACTTGCGGTTGCAGAAGTTGAACAGATCCTCCAAGCTGGGTCCGAGAAGGTCCAGGACCATGGCATTGTAGTCACATTCGGTTCCGAACCAACGGACGAAGGGGATCCCGACACCGCCGGCGAGGGACTTGTAGACACGGGCTTCATATTCGAGCTGAGGGTGCTTGGCCTTGACGCTCTCGAGTTTTATGGCGATCTCTTCACCAGAAATGATGTTGGTTCCTATGGAGAATGAGCATGCACAAGTCGAAGCTAGATGCGAGTGATCATACCGAGGTAGATATCACCGAAGCTCCCGCTGCCAATCTTACGGCCAATGCGGTACTTGTTGCCGACACGAAGATCCTATGCAAGTTAGTCGAGTGTTGCGTGTGGGTGACAGGCCAAGAAGTCCGGAAGGGACCACTCAGATGTAGACAACGCACCATGGTTGCCATGTTGGCAGATGATGTAGTCAACCGACTGCTCGTGGAATCTCAGTGTTTGAGTGTGATGGATCGGGTTGAAGTGAGGTTGATGGAAAGTCTCATGAGATGTGGGAGTCGTGGAAGAAGGTAATCTAAGTAAAAGCGGAAGCACCGGTCAGTTCAGGTGTTGCCAATGAGGCGGTGTGTTCAGTAGGGCGAAGAGGGGTAGCACGTTATCCGGAGGCTCCTCCAGAAGCAACACCAGACGGCAGCAGAAAATCGAAAGCCCAGAAAATTCCGACAAGAGTCAGACGAGGCGAGGATGAGAATTTGAGGGAAATCGGGGAGGGGAAAGGGAAGGGAAATTGGAGGGAATTATCGTACGGTTCCGGTGATGATTTGGGCGGGAATGAGGCTGTGATTGCAACCCGACCGGAGATAGCTGGACGCGTTGGAGGTGGACCGACCGACACAGGACGGTGTGCAAGGCACCTAATGAGAATCCGAGGATCCGAAATACGGCAGAAAAGGGATTTCCGACGTTGTTGTCGAAGATGGATGGGTTAGGGAAAAGAAGGAAATAGCAGAATGGATGGCGTGAGGAAGTAAAGCGAAGAAGAAGTCGGAAGTGAGAGAGGTGAGAGAGAGAGAGAGTTCAAAGGGAAAGGGTCGTTTGGGTGTCAAGTGTCTCGTGGAGTTTGTGTGGGACATTCACTGCACTGTGTGTGTCAACCTGAGGCTGCACTGGGCCATTGGCCTGAGCCACCTGACCGCATTGATGCATGAGCCACCCGACGGGGAAGTTGGCCCTCTAGCCCCTACGGTTAGCCCCTGCTTGGATACGGGACATAACGACAGCGCACTATCACCGTATCACGTTCTATTCCATGGCTGACTAACCTCCTCCTCCCCCCTTCGGCCCTTCCTGCCTCATGATGATCCATCATCCATCCATCATCATCAATTCATTTCATGTTCCACCTCCTCCGTCATGCCATCACGAAATGATCACCACCACTACCACTCCTCCATTCTTTGTCGGTGAGTTTCACCGCCTGCTGTTCGCTATCCGTGATTCCCATTCAAATCACCGCCCATTTCTTTGTCATTCGTCCTTACAACGATCGGTATTATTCATGATCATCCGAAACCTGGACGGTGATGGATGCCCGGATAGGCCACCCCCATTGCCTGCTGCCGAATGGTGACCTGCTTCCTACGCCCTTCACCCGCCGACCGACCCGATTTTGCGCCCTATCACCGCTTGAGTCTTTGATGCCTGTCCCACGCCTTTTCAGTTTTGTCTCCGTCACTGTTCAGCCTAAAGGGTCCAGTTGCAGTTGTTTGATTGCCAATCCCTAACTTAACCTAACATAGGCTCCCGATGTCTCCGGGAAGCGAGCTTCGATTTCCATTTGCCTTTATTGAACCATGCCAATATGCCATGTATAAGCCACCCGATTGATTGATTGATTGATCGATTGCCGGAACTTCCACAGGAACCTCCCATGGGAACGAGCTTCCATTCTGCTGGCTCGCTAGCTGACCTATCCTTTGAATCGGAACTCGGAATAGGTAAGTGAATGCCGCAAACGCCACGCCTACTCCTCAATCGCTCCGCTTGCCCTCGTTTCCCTCCTGCGAATCAAACAATCAAACCCCTCCCACGATACCCCAATCCCTGCCTCTCCATGCCCAACTGCAACCCAACCGAGCGGCCGGTCTCGACAAATCGCGCCACACGCCTTGCCGCCATTCTCGATAGTCGATCCAGACCAGAAGGGTTGGCCTGTCCAACCCGCGTTCTCGCTTCTCACCGAGGGCGCTCGCTGCATCGGGACCCGACCGCGGGACATGGACAAGGCTGTCAACGGAGTTCTAGGCATGTGGAATGCACCGAGCCGTGAGGTTGTTTTTAGCAACTTGGACCGTCGATCTCGGGTCCAGATGCTTGGGATCGCGGTGCCGTGCGCTTACGGACTACGGTAACTTCCACAGTGACAAATGATCGCCCCATCCCAGAGATTCCGAGGAACAAATTGAGCCACGCAAATATTTGTTGCTGGTTCGGATATGAAGAATTCGTGCGCCGCATCTCGCAGCCTTGCCTTCAAGGAATTGAGGAAATGGAAGAATCTCAAGTCGACGAGATTAATAGACTCGAAGTATCGTAGACAAGGTAGAACAAAATACTTGCAGCAAGGACTTCAAAACCCTTCGATCTTCGCACTGATTTGACCACACCTTATTACCCTAGATGCCGAAAATTGTTGTACATTTATCATACTCCTTTGAGTCAGGGTAGGTCTAGCACGTTTTCGTAGGGTTAGCCTTAAGTTGTACATTTATCCAAGTCGTGACGCTTTCAAGTCTGGTATTCCAAAATCCAACTTGAACTCTCCCCTCTCCTTATACTAGGTCCATGTCAACATGCGCCCTGCCTTAGCTACATGGTGCTGTCAGCGCGAGTGAGGTCCGTCCGGCCCGTGACAGGTGTTCACGGATCATCATACTGGCTTTAAGAGGAAGGAGCCATCGACCACGCCTTCCCCGAACTCCACTCAACTTCTTACCGAGAAGCAAGCGGGATCTTCACTACGCGGCCCACCTACTACTACGTATGCCCTACCTCCTACATACATGCAGCAAGAGTTGTCATCATGAACGGGAATATCCACGTATGTCATGATTCATGAGAGGTCGTCCGGGTGGTGGGATTTGAGGGGTATGCGGACAGCGGACCTGGAGTTCAAGGGGTGTGCCTGGGTACCAAGGTAATGGTTGTAGCATCATGGATGAAGATGCGATGGACTAAGCCAGACTCAGGAGAACTCTCACACCTGGTTTGCTGAGCCGGAAGGTCGAGATCAGGGGAAGGTTCTGGCGGTGGTGATATAGATGTGTGACCACGCCGTGTCGTTCACTGACTACCGCTCTCGGTATTACTCTATTCAAATCTACACTGTTATACATCTGTTATACATGGGAACATGGCCCTCCCACCTATCGTCAATCCCGCCTCTAACCCTCCTCCCCCAACCCCTTCACACTCCACCTCCTCCCTTCCTTCTTCCTCTTCTGCTTCTCCCTTCTCGCCCCCTTCCCCCCCCTTCCCCCCTCCACCACTGCCCCTAACTTCAAATTCTTCTCCACCCTCGACTTCGCCCCCAGCGCCCACAGATCCCCCCATCCAGCCTTCCGCGCGTCCCGCTGCGCCTGCCGCCCCGCCGCCCGTTCCTCGACCTCCGCGTCCGCCCCGATGCGGCTGCGCGCCATCGAGCGTGCGACGACCCAGCGTTCTGCGGTGCCCGAGGGCGTGCAGACGTCGAGGATGATGTGGCCTTTGGGTTTGAGAGGGGGGAGGATGAGGCGGGGGAGGGTGAGGGGGTGGGGTGGGAGGGGAGGGGTGGAGGACGTGGTAGAATCAGACGGTAAAGAGTCGGAGGAGATGGCCGGGAGGTTGTGCGCATCGACGCCGAGGTGGTGCCCATACCACGCAGCGTGCGTCGCCCGCTCCCCCTGCTGGAACCCCAACCCCCGCGGATCGTGCTCCGGCAACCGGTGATCGCGACCGCGCATGACGGCCAGATAGCTGAACTCCACGTGGTCGTGGTTGCGCATCGTGGCGCCGAGGAGCTTTTGCAGGAACGGCGGGCGGATGTACCGCTGCGTGAAATAGCACTTGTCCTTGCGGTGGGCCGAGCGGCCCGCCGTGGGGTATAGCGGGCACTTCGTGTGGTTCGTGCACGGGGCAATGATCATGCCGGTTTCTTTCCCTTTGGCGGGGCCAAGAGTCCCGTTGCTGAGCCGTGGCACGCGGACTTCCTCGCCGGGGGAGGAGATGTGATGTTCGAGGAGGAGGTCGCGCGCCCCGGCGATGATCTCGAAGCCGCGGGGCGTGCCCTTCTCGAGGAGGACGAGGACGCCGCCATTGGGGTTTAGTAGGTGCCAGAAGTTCTCGGTGTAGAACCGACGCATGTCGTTCCGTTCAAGGCCCCAGAGCACGTACGGAGCGACGATGACATCGTATACCTGCGACGTCTTTCCACCTTTCGACTCCACGTCGGTGTTGGGAATCCGCGGGAGGAAGCTCGTGTTGCTCAGGAATTTCCGGACGTGCGCCCTTAGTGAGTCGGACGCGCAGATCACCGACCCTCGGCCGAGCTTCTCCTCAGGCATCGCGGTCGGTTCTTGGTCCGGGTGCATACTCTCCCATTCCGCTTTCAAGATCTCTCGCCACGCCATGACTCCCGCTCCGGCCCCGCCCGCATCCAGAATCCTCGGACCACCTTTTTTCTCAAGGAGGCCTTGTATCCACTCGGTGCCGAGTCGTTTCCGGACCTCCACCAGGGAGCTAGTCACCGCGCTGTAAGTTTGCGGGAATTGCCCGGCCAGAAACACGTTGGCTTCCGTGTCGGACATGGTCTTGTCCCTCACGCTCAGCGCCACCGGTTGTTGCTCCATCGACATGGCAACCCGCGGCGTCGAGGGCGAATACGGCAGCCCCACGCCACCGAACGTCTTTTCCGCCGCTTGTCGGAGGTGCTTGGGGTGGATGTCGGACATCGACCCGGAAATCTGCTCGGTGATGGATTTCGGCATAAAGATCGTGGATGGGAAGGTTCCGGACTTGCCGGCGGTGGTGAGGGGGTGTTCGCGGATGACCTGATCGTCCTCGGGCCATTCTTCTTCGGGGAGAGACTCGTGGATTTCGGCCCTGGACAACTCAGACGCGTCTTCATCTTCGTAGAATTCGTCGAACACTAGGTCGGAGTCATCTTGGGCCTTTGTACCAGCCGAGGACTTCATGTTTTCCCTTTCAAAATCATCGTGCTCATGAAATCTCTCGTTCCGGCCCATGCTTCGTGTGGGGTATTCCATCTCCCCGATTTCCTCCATTCCCTTGGCGGAGTCTCGGAGCAGAGTTTGGATCCCGCTCTGGTCCTCATGAATCGGAACCTTCAGAACCGGAGCGGCGCCATATAGCCTCTCGTATGCACGTAGCTGCTCGCCATTGAGGGTATCATCCGGAAGCGCGTCTCCAAATGCCTCCCGCGCCGCCTTTGCCACCTCTTCGGGTGGGATCTCGTCAGAGACGGCTTTGAACGCATCGATTGAGAAGTCGACCTCGTTGGTTGGATTATGCGTCTCCCCTGATGCTGTTTCCTGGGGATGATGTGCGCTCTTTTTATCCGGCGGTTGATCGGAGGAGTGTAGGAATCGTCGGTTCGGAGGATGTGTCGGCAACTGACTAGTCAACATTCGTTTCGAGAGGCTCTGAAGAGTGATAGAATCTCTTCTACATCGCAGCAGGGAGGTCATATGCCTGCTTGACAATCTTGATAAGTCATTTCGAGAGCTTGCCACCCCTTGGGGCGCAAACAGGGCTGGCCGCAGCCCTGAAGCCTGCAGAGCATTCTGGCAGCGCCGACAAATGAATGGGCGTGCTGCGAGCATTGATAAATGCTGTGACAAAGGCACACCAAGTCCAAGAATTCAAAAACGAATGGCGGGAGGATGGTTGAGCACAACTTGAAGAGTTGAAGACGCAGAAAAGTTCGGACGATATCGTAGACCCTGGTCATTCTCGGGCTGTAGGGGTGCAATATTAGCGCAATGCTTAAGTTGTGGATCTGCTCGACCTCCAATGACCAATTGGCAATTTCACACGGCTGACGACCATTAAATTACAACTGAATCAAGATATCTGATCTTAGGGTTCAACGCTCTCTCTCCTATATGATGTAGGATGCAAGTATATGGAAAGGGTTTTCCCGACCGCTTACACAGGTATCGCTGGAAGACCTTGTAGAGAAAGTGTGAAGATAGTATGGAGCAGCGAGAAATGTCTAGGAAGGCTGTATCATCGACACCCAGCCTGGCCAACATCTAGGGCATAGGACTTCAAGTTCAAAAGTAGATGATGGGCAACCTTAGTGGCTGTTGAAGAATAGGAAGGGGAAGTTGGTATGTATTGCATTTTTCATAACCCAGTATCTGCTCCTACAACGTTTGCTGCCCATCACGAAATCGCACCTATACGAGACTCAGACAGAGTGTAAAGAGACACCGTCCATCCGTGCTCCCTATTCTGTCCCCTTCATGCATCCTTGCTGTTCTCATCAACCCTCAGTTGGGCGTCTCGTTCTCCTTGCCAGTCATGATGCCTTCTTCGTTGATAGTCGGGAGCTGCACCTTGTCCGCACCACCCTGCACGCCCGGCATTCCGATGTCCTTGGGAGCCTCTCCACTACCTTTGGGAGCATCTGTGCTAGACTTTGCAGCCTCTTTGCTGTCAATCCGTTCGATTACTGGAGCAAGCTCTGCCGCTGGGTTCTTCACATTGTCTGGCATAGCCTGCTTGTCTACCACTGCACCGAGGTCCTTGAGAATCTCCGCACTGTTGAGAACCTCTGCGCTGTCCTTGGAAGCCTCCCCACTAGCCTTAGCTGCCTCTTCGTTGTCGATCCTTTCAATAACTCGGGCAAGCTTGGCCGCTGGGTTCTTGAGGTTGTCGGCCATGACCTGCGGGTCCATTTCCGCCATAGGGTTCTTGTGGTCCTCCTCTGGTTCAGCTTGAGCAGCCTGTGAACTGGGAGTATGATGCTTGTCTCGGCGATTGCGGCGCTTGGGGCGTGTCTGGTTGGTGTTGTCAGTGGCATGCTCTCTTGTTCGAATGAGTGAAATGTATCCCACCTCTGGTGGCTGATCCGGATCATTGATATCTACCAGGTATTTCTGATAGCGACCATAGCAACTCATCGCCACAGAAGTGGGACCTCCGATGCTTAGTCGGCCCGTTATCAATCGCTCATGATTCGCGAGATCCGTGACCTCTTGATGGCACATTGGGATTCCTCCTTCGCCAAATCGTTCGCGGATGTTTTCCGGGTGGGGGAGATCGATGCTGTACCAAGTAGGCCTCATAGTGAAGTGAATCTGGGCGTACGGTTTACGTTGAGCTGACACACGGACCCTGAAGAGGCAGAAGATGGAAGGTGAATGATGTTAAAGTTGGACACGAGAAAGTTTTGAATTGGTGGCTGGTGTGATTTAATGTTAGTTGATTTTGAGTACAGTGGACGATTCAAGTTGAAGGAAGGGACAAAGGACCCCATGGCTCGCCTGCCTAATTTATTACAACATGCCGACTTTCGGGAAGAAAAACGCATCGACATTACAGTGAGTCCTTATTAAGATACTTCACTCATTTTGAAGCATCCAGAGCGATCATAATTCATGAGACACCGAGCTTGATACGTGGGTCCAAACTGCGTATGTCAGCCCGTCATCCTAAGACTATACGTTGGAAGACATAGAAGAGCTTTGGAAATCCCAAGGGTACGATGTAATTAAGGCCATTGCTTTTGTCCGCACGGGCTGGAGAACTGGATACAAAAGATAGGAATAGGGTTGCTATTAATCATTAACTTACAGGTCCCCTGGCCATTGTGCATCCGCAGTTCCTCTCGCCAACTGTGATTTCTTCGCCATATCCTCTTAACTATGGGAATTCCTTTCAAAATGACTACCTGCACAGCGGGCTTGCACTGATTCTGTTCGACTCCTTCACCCAGGAATGTCTCAAGGCCCTTCACCTGGTGCGGGAGGAATTGATGATCCTTCTCCTTCCACGTCCACCTCCAGCCTATTGAAACGGAGAATCGTATCGACTTCCTAATGGATATGGAACATAAAAGAGGAACTCTAATATATGGAAATGAGGCGAAAGCAGGCAACGATTGAGAGTGCTCGATGCGAAGTGGTACGCTTCAGGACCGTCAGTTCATAATACTGCCCACCATCCCCTTGTTATCTTCCAGCAGCGGGAACTTGCTCGTAATGACTCATAGAATGACGTTCTTCTGTGTTGGTAGGTCTACAGGGGGAGAGAATGTACCCTCGCTGCCTGCATCGTACTCTAGGCAGACGGTATTGGCGTCTAGTCAGTTGAAGCGCTGTCGTTCCGTATTATATAGGAAGTTCAACTCAATTTGATATGTCATCGGCAGTTGCCAATTCTAGTTGCGTCAGTGCTGCTTTGGCCGTGAAACGATTGGCATGCGGTTCATTAGTAAAAAGGACAGCTCGCCAAACCGCTGTAACTATTTCTATGGGTAGAGAACTATTTATATTGGAATGCTGGGAGTTGGAAATGGCTTAGCTGTGACTATCAGATGTACCACACGACTCCCCACAATTCAGCTAGGGGTGGTCGGCAGCATCACCCTGACCGAGTCTGCGAAGGTTTTGCCGAATTCAGCTATGCTTCGTTAAGATATCTATAAGGGAAAGACGGAATTGTGCAACATTAGGACAACAAGGATTTGCAGGCTTTCAGAGTCCTGAAGGTGTGCTTCGGGGCATCAATTAAGAGGCTCCGGATGGGTCTCCATATTAGCTGTCCAAACAAGAGGCATCACGAGTCACACATGCAGTGGCAGCCAAGTTTTTATACTTTTTTAATTCATGTCTTCTATTAACAAAAAATCAAAGGGGAATTATGGAGTGTTGAAGAGGGGCAGTGCGAAGTGAAAGGGGGTGTTTGCGAAGGGGATTTTTTTGGAAATTTTGAGCGTGGATGATATGCTTCGAAAAGCCGTGCTGTGTGGTGTGTCGCGAAATGGGGGGAATGCATGCATGAAAATAAAGAAAATCCTCTCCTTCCATGATCCTAAGAGCTGTCCACCTGGTCCTCAGTGAAGAGGTCCTTGAATGTCCAGGTGATATTCGGCGTGCAAGGAAGAGAGGAAGGAATAGTTGAAATCATCCTCAAACGGCGATGTAAGCCATGAAAACATGAAAAATCGAAAAGCTGCAGTGGTGAGCACCAAAATGTGATGCAATGCCACCAGTTCCAATAGGAACCCGATCCTCCACCGATCCAACTCAAGATTGCTTCATCCAGGGCCACCAAAGGACCAGGATTCCACGTCAAGAAGAGGCAACGGAATCGCTGTGGGGGATGTCATCGCAAAAAGTCATCGTGCTGTTGAAATCACGCCAATCATCCGCCAAGGCAATGCTGAAGGTGATACGCTATGCTGAAAAACCAGAGGTATCCTTGTCGTGGGATTGTCGAAGCACGAGTGCGACAACAAGAGCCCGATTGTCTGCCAGAAAGAAAAGGGTATTGAGTTTCGTCTCCGTTCGTGAATGCAACACTGTGCAATCTATTGGTGGTGTCTGTGCAATATTTTTTCTCGTCGCCTCGAAAGAAGCAAACAAGAAAAGGATGAAGAAGGGAGGAAAAGTTTGGGTTAACATGATGCTAGAAGGTACAGTGGAAAAAGCGAGGAAAGCAGGACGTGGAAAGCAGATAAAAGGAAAGGAAAAGGAAATGATTTCAACCATGAAGGTGGTGCACAGTAAGAGACTGGATCTGTGTTCCGAAGTCCACAAGACCGATGTAAGCCGCGAGGCCAACAATCTTCTCTTCCATGCAATATGTATTGCGAGCGAGTCGAGCCCATGATGCGTCATTGCACGCTCCGGTACACCGCGGTGGTATGCAGTTGCCACGGCACCGATGATCACAGTGGTAGAGCTATCGCGTTGTCGAGCTGATAAAAAAAGCAGGAGGCGGAACTTTTGTCGGTGCGCGGGTAAATATACAGTGACCGGTGCTGTAAACTCAATAGAAACTCCAGGGTGTGGACGGCGATTGCTGATCGATTTGCCTGGTAACATGCCACAGGCACCAGTTGGCTGGGTGACTGGAAAACCCAAGATGAACCATCGCAACAGTGAGGGTAAGGCAACACCCGCCCAAACCGAAGCAATGAGGACCATCAGTGATAGGAATCGCAATGTCCACGAATGTCAAACCCGAAACGAAGCCGCCCAAAGTCGATCGTAGAAATAGAAGCAGTGTCGTAAAAGCACTTTTGTTTGCCATCAAGTGCCGCTCGTCGTGAAGGCCATCATATCATCGCAGAAATTCCTGGAGGCATGTTCGCGGAGTATGTCCAGGATCGTATCATCATGTACGGTGCGTTTAATGGCGCCAATGCGAGTTTTGGTTGCGTTGCTGATTGACACCACGGTATTGAAATCCTTGATAAGGCTGCTGGTATTGCGCAAAGCCATAAGGCTGCTGAGGCGCGATTGGCATCCCCTGCCCGTAGGTCGGCGGCTGAGCGGACGGCACGGCAACTGGAAGCCCGAAGACAGGCTGCCCTTGCATCGCTGGAGCTGCAGTGTAATACTGCGGCGGAGCGGATGAATAGAGCGGGTAACCGCTCGCAAAGTTGCTGCTAGGATGTTGGGCAACAGGCGGGGGGTGAGGAGCGGTTTGCGCTTGGGCAGGCACACTATAGGTGGACGGAGAGATGGTTGGAGCCATTGCGCCAGTGGTAAAAGGAAGCTGGCGGCTGTTCTGGTTCCGATTATCATAAGCCGTGAGCTTTTGGATGATACGGCGGCCGTGGGGAGTTCCTCGGATGCTGCTGACCATGGGTCGGACGGCATCGTACAGACGAGTGCGCGTCTCGCTTTCGCTATGCTCCATCTGAAAGTCATATGTCAGCCAGAATCAAAACAAGAGAGGGATGAAATAACTCACAGCTGTCTGGATCACGTAGTTGCCATAGTTGTCCTTGATCAGCGACTCGAGTTCTCGTGGGTTCAACAGCACTTCAATCATATCGTTCCGAGCCTCGCGGCTGGAGCAACGGATACATTTCTCGATGACATTCGACGAGAACTTCTGACGAGACAGTACAGGAAGCTGCGGAACGAAGACTCGGCAAAGGTAATCGGTGTAAACAACCTCACCAATGTCGAGGACGTATTGGAGGACGTAGTTGCCGAATGGATCCTGGACCAAGGTGTATGCGGCCTCGCTGATCTGCTTCACGAGGCGATTCTTCTGAATGGTGCTCGCGTGATCAAGGCAGCGTTGAATGACACAGCAACCATGACGGTGAGTCCCAACAACGTGCATGTCATTGCCAATGGCCTCGTAGATGAAGTCGGAATTCTCGTGGCTCATATGATTCAAGCATTTCTGGACGACATGATTGCCGTTGATGTCCTGTATGAGCTTGCAAACATGGTCGCGAAGAGCTTCAGTGATGAGATGAACCTGTTCGGGAGTGTCGACGAATTCGATCATCTTCTGCAACGCGCGAGTCCCATGCTGGTTATATCCCACTTGGATCATCTGAGGAGAAACGTTGCGAATGAGCTCGGTGCGCTGGTCCTCAGTGCCATTCTCCAACAAGCGCTGGCAAAGATAGTTGCCGAACTGGTCGGTCATCAACTCGAAGATGTGATCCTTGACTTCTCCGAAGATAATCGCAATTTCATCAGCGTCACCTTCTTCAATCCGGCGTTGAAGGAAGCGACAGCCATGCTGATCCCTTGAGATCTCCCAGATTTGGCCGATGAGGTCGGTGAGTGCCACATCATTCCAGCGAGCGTTGTCTGTAGCGGGAAACAATGTTAGCGTGGAAAGCAAGGTAACAAAGCAGCGCACAACAATCTTGAGCTTCAATGTAAAGAAACAAACATGACAGGGATGTGCGTACCTTCACTGTTCTGTGCGCGCCTCAATGCGATGACTTGGGCTTGGCTATCGTGAAATTGATTGGGAGCAGTATGGCTAAAGGGTGGCTGATAATTGAACGGTGGCTGAGCCAAGGAGGTGCGGCTTGTTGCTGGTGCAGGCCAGGTCACATTTGCCGGACGATTGAAGTCGAGGCGTCGAAGTCGTGGATCGGTAGGATCCGGGGGGTTGAACAATTCAGGCTCCCCCCATCTCTCCTCAGGAGGAGATGGGAAAGGCGGAAGCTCTGAAGGGCCTGTCATAGTCTTGGAAACCGAAGGTCCAAATGGCGCAGCGCTTGCTTGCAGGCTGGAAGTATGTGAGGCAACAGATCGTCCTTCATCCAGGTTCATGCCATTGAAGCTGGCGACCAAATCAATATTGTTGTCAATGTTGTTCTCAGCCAAAGTGACCAGGGCACGTGACGATGTTGGGTGGATCGTTTTCTCTAGGCGAGATGGAGCGAATGCAGGACCCTGGGAGGCGGACGAAGTTGCATGCTGAGTAAATCCGTTCATCTTCTTGAACGAGTTCAAAGTCGGGACATCGTTGGTCGAGAACGAAGATGGAATCTTTGGCATTACATGTGCAGTCCCGGGAGTTGCCTGAGTAGTAGACTGCATCATAGACTGCGGAGAAGGCTGATAGTTGAGAAGACTGTTGCGACGTTTTGCCTCAGATGTGTACTTGGCCGCATCTAGTGAGTGCCGGTTGATAGCACCCGTCTTGGTTGGCGTCGTATCGCCGGACCCATTGACCGAAGAGAATTGGAAACCATTCTCACCCAGAGGGCGCAGGTTGTTGACAGGAAGGCTCTGCTGGCCGTGGCGATGTCGCTGATGGGTTCCAATGCCGTTGGTGGCCATTTCAAGGTTGCCAGGGCGAGTTCCTAAGACGTCCATATTGGTGGTCGGCATCATGGAGTTTCCGTCCATGTCGCGAGTGCGAAGGACTGGCATGCCGTCGTCGTTGATGGAATAGTACTTCTTCCGTTCTAAGGTGAGAGAATTCCGATGCACGGAGTTGCGGTTAGATCTCGACGTGAGAGCAAGCGGATCCTCGTCGTCGTCAAGGAGTGACGAGTGAGTATCGACGTGCTCGAAAGCGGCCCCGATGTTTGGAAGGTTTCCGATCGCACCAGCTGGCAGGGAATTCCGGTTGAAACTTGACTTCTGTCAGTCGCGTCACAGGTGAGGAGCGCGATTGAATGTTCCTGATATAACAAAATGACGCAAGGAGGTAGCTTGATTGAACAACGAATAATCGACAAAGGTCTTTTGGCAATAAGAACTCAGTCGGGAAGATGAAGTACAGCTGTTTTGGAGAAGCAAAAATGAAAATGGTTGAGTGATGTGATATGCGAGGTGAGACGTGGCTAAGTGAGAAGAAAAGATGCGAAGAGCGGACGAAATTCACTTTGATGTGCGAAATCAAAACACACACACAATTCACACATGCAACGCTCCAAGGCCGCAACGTGACTGTATCAGGTGATTTCCGCAAAAACGACTGCAATGCAAAAGCAAAACGACTCTGAGAATAAATCAGCAACTGTCAGCAAAGCTCGACTCACGTTTTGGTTCCAGAATGGGCGTTTAACATTGGGAGTTCATGCTCAACCTCATCCTCCTCTTCCGAGTTACGTCGCGATCCGGGAACCGATTTGGACGGATTATGCGACATCATCGACTGAGTCTGCGGAGGGATGAAAGCTTGGGATCCCGAGCGTGTGGCCATGGACGAGAACGGTGTTCCGAATCCTAAGGCGGAACTCATGCTGGACCCGGACAGAGAATACCGCGTTCCACGCGAGTAGGAGGCGAAGCCATTGCTCTCTCTCAACTCGGGAGGAGTGGTGGGTTCACTCTGCGGACCTAGGAGGGTCCCAAACTCCGAGTCTTGCTGACGGAACATGTCATCGTCTTGTCCTGACTGGCGATCGAAGAAGTCCATTTCAGACTGGAATCTTCGTCGCTGCTCGCGAAGGAACGCTTGTTCAGCCTTCTTCTTGTCAAACTGAAAATATGTTAGTGAGTGAAGAAACTTGGGTCTTGGTTGACAAAATAGCATTTGTAACTCGTAGCAGAACCAACATTGCAGGCGGGCACGCGAGGTTCGCGTTGTCCTTCGGGGAGCGCACAATCGACGCACGCCAATAAGCTGGCTGACACGGAAAAAATAAGTAGCGAAATGGAGAGAAACACGTTAGGCAGCGCAAGGTAAAAGGGAATAGATAAAGAGCAAGAGGTGAAGTAAACATCACGGTTCTTGTTGTGAAGTGGAATCAGGCTGACAGTGCAAGGCACAACATCTCAAGCGGCATGCCGAGTGGAAAGTGTCGAGAACAACAAATGAACGCAAGGGGAACGGCCATCACAGCCGCAGCCACAGCATGGCTGGGTGCATACAATGGCCATGCACGACAAATGAAGTCCTATCACGAGAAAGAAACCATTACAGTAACACAGTGAAGCATCTGATAGCTTGCCTCTGCTAAGGAAAAGCGCCAAGAACGACTAATCAATGCCCCTCTCGGGAAAGAAGACCATCTCAAGAATATAAGCTGAGCGCAAACCGCACATACTGAAACAACGCCGCGAGCAACAATCAATGAAAGAAGACAATCGCAGCAGTAACGCGAGGACGCTGCCAGCCTAGGCTAATCATGGGTCGCAAGGGACAAATGAATGTTCCTAGTACAGGTGACGGCCATCACAAGAGCAGCTTTCTGAGTTACAAAGTGGTGATTACTTGCAACAACAGAAAAACTCTCGTGGGGAAGACATGAAGATAACGCATAATAGAAGACATCATGGGAGGGCATATCCACAAGACAGAAACGAGTGCGTGCAGACAGATTCCCAGCGGTCCGTCCCGTCTAGGGTCCATAACTTTCCAAAACAGTCATAGGAGCTTGCCTTCCGCCTGAACGAACCACAGCATGCGCTTGGGTAGGGCAAAGTGAAAATATTCACACGGACGAAATGTTCCAAAGGATCAAAACAGGCGAACAAAGGCAAATCAGAAAGGAATGGGCAACTTACTGCTTGGATTTTGGTATTGAATGCCTGGGCCCAATCCATGTTAGCGGTTATGAAAAAGAGGAAGTAGCTTTGTGATAGATAGATTGGTCCCGAATGAAGAGAGAGGAAGAGATGAGTGAGATGGAGGAAGGGAGTGGAAGATAAGTAAGAAAGAGGTACAAGTAGAGGATGGAAGATGAGAACTTGATTAAAGTAGAGGGAAGATAGAAAGGGTGAGAGATGGAGGAAAGAAGAGGGGTGGGAGATATAAAAAAGAAGAGAGTTGAGATTGTATAGGAGGAGAGGGAATAGATTGAAGGGTGAAGAGGATTTGGGTATTGTTGGGTATGCCCACGACACAATAGACACAATAGTTAATTGCATGTGCCATTGAGGGGAGGAAAGTGAGTCGCAAGTGACAATAGGCACACCCTCGAGGATACAGTCCATCCAGGCAGACGTACTTCACCATGTATAGCGACTCGGACAACCATAATAACAGACAATAGGAATATCCCACTCACCGATGAAAGTACATCAATATGCTCGGCCGCCTGTCTGCGCTGCTGCCCAATTGGCGACAAAGGGCTCAATGAAAGTGACGACAGCGTAGGTAGCGTCGTGATGGTGTTGGTGGTAAACCTTCGGTGGAGGCTCGCTCGTGGATCGGCCATGGTCGAAGGCTGGGAGGTTTGCGTATGCATCTGGGTCCCAATGCCACGAAGGTTGGAGGAGGTATAGGTGGAGAAGGACGAATCGCGATCGGGCGATTGGGGAGGGTAACGCATGTTGTCGGCGCCGTCGCCTAGGCCGCTCGAGAAAGCCATGGCGAGTTCCTGCCTCTGGGATCAAATTGTAAGCGATGTGGTTGCGGAAGTCGACTTCATGCTGGAGAGGCGGGTCCGGGCGGTGAAGGGTTACGTCGATTCAGGAGTGGACTCGGAGGAGATGCAGAGCCCGCGGAGCGTGGAGGTTCCAAGGCGTCCGAAACCACCGACGCGCTGCCACACCAGAAATTTGAGAGGAGCACTCACAAGAGAAACTCGTCTGTCTTCTAAACGGCCTTTTTTCCCGAAATATTGTTGGATGAATGAAGTCGTAGGTGTGGTTGGGATGACCGTGGGTCAACGAGCCATTCCCGCAATGACTTCTTGGCGGCCGAGGAGCACAGGTGGATCAAAGCGAATGTGGGGAGGCGAGGCGCGCACTGCTCAACTGCTCAGTCGCTCAGTCGCCCAGCGTCGTTGAATGCCCTCTGATTTCGCTGTTACTATTTTCCACTCGGAGGCAGGAAGAAATCAGAAATCCCCAGGGGGAGCTGTCAGGCCAAGGTGGTCGCGTTTCCGCACAGCGAGGTCAGCAGTAGGACGAGGTACGGCAGGCCGATCAATTCACGATATAGTGGAACGGGCGACTTGTGTGCAATGATCATGGGATTGGACTCTTTGTTGGACAATTCATCTACAGACTTCAACCAGAGTACGGAGGTACAAGACAGCACAGCGACGCCTGGGCCGAGCGGGTGCGGATTGCGGAAGACCACTCCCCCACCCCTGGAGCACTTCAAGCCTCAAGAGTGTTTCTGAGAGCAAGCCAACAAGCTGCAGCAGAGTTGACTGCGAGTGGTTGCCAGACCTTAACCCTGGCGGGACCTGAGCTAATACTGGGTTGCTAAGCGCACGCCACCGCCAACCTGCGCCCAACCCCCAAGCGACCATCGTCTGGGGAATTGCTACTAGGTTATGCCTATCCATTTGCAATGCAGGTGCTTGTCGGAGAGGGGCAACGAGGGCGCCGATATCGAATCCTCCATTCACGGGCGCTGCCGCCGGTGAACCTATCCATACGGACGCTGACCATAAGGTCGCAGCAGCACGCTCCCGACAAAGCCCAGTGGGCTTCGAGTCCGTTCGGAATTTGGCGAGGCGACGCTGGTTCCGATCGCGCTCCACGGATAGTTGCCAGCACGTAACGACGTGCATGCAGTAGATACGCCGCCACCACCAGGGAGCCAGAGAAATGGCCGTCGCACAGGCAGTGCATGACATGGTTGCTGGTGCTACATGGATTCGGGGAACACGCAGTCATGAGCCGAAGACGCACTCTCCCCACATTTCAATATTTTGTTCATATAGTACGCAACAGTAGACTATTACTCCGGTCACTGGTGACTGGATATCCGATTGGCGTCCGCCATACCGTGTTCGAGAGCTCTGCTAGAAGAGCAACGACGGGGTATCGGACCTTCGTCAGCTGGGGCCTTTGATCTCGATCGTGTTTGTTCCGTTCGTCTCTAGGATGTAAAAAAGGTGATGGAGAAAAAGCTTTGTAACGGCTGGATCGTAATAATGTACTCGACTTGGTTCGGATGAAGGCTCAGTTGCATGTCTCAAAGTCCGGAGCATCATTGGTGGCTGCACGACAAGGACAGTACAGTGGAGGTGTCAGCACGACACAGAGGAGGAGTTCCTGGATGGAAAGTTCAAGGTGAAATGTAGACCGATTTCGACCATTATTAATATTAATAATGATTTACTATCGGAGGAGACACAAAAGGACTGCATATCTCAATCCAGCCAATGCATCAAATGGTTGTCCGGACCAAATCCTGGAACGGTTATTGGGTCGATGACTTGACTAACATTTCCGAATATACCACCATTGTTGAAATTCATTTTGTAAGGAACCATACAATTCCAGACTTCCAAATTCCAATGCATCACTAATTAGCCAACTTGAATATGTGCTTGACTGCGGTTGGCTGTTCGCAACGCAGATCCTAATCTGGACCAAGTAAAGCGCGTGCTCGACATCTAAATAGTTGGGTGCACCATCAACTCTCTGTCCCAGAGATCCTTGTAAAATGAGTACAGTGATGCTTTGAGGAAAGTTGTACTCCGTACACTCTGGAGAAATTGATATTCACGGTTGAATGACTGGATGACGCCGAGGGAGCAGCCTAGAGCGAATCGGAGGTAACTATGTTCCTACGCGGGCGTACTCAATATTACTTCATGATCTAGCTCTCTCTAGAGCGACATAAAGCGGTCACGGGACCCAGTCTGAATTATCAGGGCGGAAGTGAATGGCATTCGGATTTGACTCTGAGACTCCAAATATCAGATCGCGATCATAGGAATAGAACAAGATTCAGGGAGCCAATCAAATCCATCCCTCAACCCCACCACGAACGACAATCCCTGCCATACAGTATTAGTGCCATCAAAGATTCTGGCTCACCATTTATAATACCACCGAGCTCGATTTTCTTTCCGAAGTCATAGGGCTGATGAAATTGACTTTCGATCCTGAGCACGAGGGGAGGTTTACGATCACCGTCTAAGATGCCTCCGAAGGCGCGGAAGGCGGCTGCGGCCGAAATTCCTGCAGAGGCTCCAGAGAGTTCTGCCCAGGTACGATTCTTTCCCAATTGCCTCACTTTGTCAATCTACTCACAAGACGTAGGCGGAGCAGAAAACAGCGAAGAAACGGGCACCACGGGCGAAACCGAAGGCGGACCAAGGTGGAGCAATGTTCGAAGCATCACAAAACGGACCACAACCGACTCATTCTGCTGCAACTTCAGCGCCGGGGCCAAAACGGCAGGTGGAATTCGACGAGCTTCTGAAACCTTTCTACGACGGCAAGCATTTGACAGACCCCATCGACACCGCACGGGATAAGTGGAATCTACTGCCGGCCTTCCTCCAGGTCAAAGGGCTCGTGAAGCAGCACATCGACAGCTTCAATTACTTCGTCGACGTTGAGCTGAAGAACATTGTCAAAGCCAACCAATATGTGCGAAGCGATGTGGACAGCAGGTGGTTCCTCAAGTAAGATAATACGGAGAGGCAATACACACGAAGACTGGCTAACCCGGTACGATAGATATGAGGATATCCGAGTGCTTGCGCCAAATCGTGTCGAGGAAGACAACAACGAGCGATTCGCTGGCAAATCCAGCGTCACCCCGAACGAATGCCGACTTCGAGACATGACATACTCGGCTCCTGTGGTAGTCGACATTGTATACAAGCGGGACAAACATGCTGTCAGACGGAGAAATGTCCGCGTTGCAAGATTGCCGGTCATGTTGCGAAGCAAAATTTGCACTCTGAGTGACCGTACGGATGCCGAGCTTGCCGGCCTTAACGAATGCTCAATTGACCCCGGCGGATACTTCATTGTTCGTGGTCAAGAGAAAGTTATTCTCGTGCAGGAGCAACTCAGCAAAAACCGAGTTATCGTGGAAGCGATGAAAGGCATAATCCAGGCGTCGGTCACCAGCTCAACACACGAGAGGAAGTCCAAGACCTATGTGCTGCTGAAGAAGGGCCATATATTCCTCAAGCACAACATTCTCCAAGAGGATGTCCCAATCGTCATTATTCTGAAAGCGATGGGAATACAGTCTGATCAAGAAATCATGGGTCTAGTCGCAGGAGCAGATGTCATCTACCAAGACTTCTTCGCCATCAACTTCGAAGATGCCGTACGAGAAGAGGTCTTCACCCAAGTCCAGGCCTTGGAATATATTGGCAGCCGAGTCAGGATCATGAGAAAACCTGTGGGAACGTCCCAAAAACGAAACCACCAACACGAAGCTATGGAGGCGCTCGCTTCCATCATCATTACGCATGTACCGGTTTTAGGGATGAACTTCAAACCGAAGGCCATCTACATTGCATTTATGGTCCGAAGAGTTCTGATGACTATGCACGATCCCACACTTATCGACGATCGTGACTATGTCGGAAATAAGAGGCTCGAACTTGCCGGACAGATGCTCTCGCTGCTGTTCGAGGACCATTTCAAGAGATTCAATCACGAATTCAAGCTAAGGGTCGACAAAGTCCTCGGGAAAACGAATCGAGGCGCTTCGTTTGATGCAGGAGATTTCCTCAGTCTTCATGTGGGAAGCATCACACAGGGAATGGAAAGGGCCATTTCTACGGGAAATTGGAGTCTCAAGCGGTTCAAGATGGAGCGAGCAGGAGTTACTCACGTCCTCAGCCGTCTGAGTTATATAAGCGCGCTTGGAATGATGACGAGAATATCCAGTCAGTTCGAAAAGACACGAAAAGTCAGCGGTCCTCGTGCTCTCCAGCCATCTCAATTCGGGATGTTATGTCCGGCCGATACTCCGGAAGGAGAAGCCTGCGGTCTGGTCAAGAATCTGGCGCTGATGACCCACATCACCACCGAAGATGACGAAGAACCCGTACGAAAGCTTGTCTTCATCCTTGGAGCTGAAGATGTTACTACCGCGAGCGGGGAGGAGATGTACAAGGATGGATCCTATATCGTCTTCATCAACGGGACCCCCCTCGCCCTTACTCAGCAACCGAAGCGGTATCTCAACGCATTTCGGAAATTCCGGAGGATGGGGAAGATTTCCGAATTCGTGAGCATTCATATCAACCACCATTATAACGCGGTTCACATTGCCACGGATGAAGGACGTATTTGCAGACCTCTCATCGTGGTGGAGAATTCGAAGTCGCGAGTCACAGCGAAACACCTCGACGCGCTACGGAAAGGCACCATGGCTTTCGATGACTTCTTGTCCTGCGGAGTAGTCGAGTACCTCGATGTCAACGAAGAGAACGACTCGAACATTGCCATCTACGAACCAGATATTGACGCTACAACCACTCATCTTGAGATTGAACCGTTCACCCTTCTCGGTGCCGTTGCAGGTCTCATCCCTTACCCTCACCACAATCAATCACCCCGAAATACCTACCAATGTGCAATGGGCAAGCAAGCCATCGGTGCCATTGCATATAATCAGTTCAACCGAATCGATACATTATTGTACCTCATGGTATACCCTCAGAAACCAATGTGCAAGACTCGAACGATCGAGTTGATCAAATACGACAAGCTGCCAGCCGGACAGAATGCTACCGTTGCGGTTATGTCCTACTCAGGCTACGACATCGAGGACGCTCTCGTCTTGAACAAGGCATCATGCGACCGAGGGTTTGGCAGATGTCAAGTCTTCCGAAAGGTCAGCACGCCTCTCAAGAAATACCACAGCGGAAGCATGGAACGGATCAATGAGCAGTCACGAGTAGAAGGAGAACGACGGTTCGAGAAAATCGGAAGAGACGGGTGCGTCGAAGTTGGAGAGAAGGTCGAAAAAGACCACTTCATCCTCCTCAAACAAACGCCCGTGAACACCACCGCGGGTTTGAGCGTGGTCTCCAACTCACGAAACACCGAGTACCGTAACACCTTCTTATCGTACAAGCTCCCGGACCCCTGCTATATTGACAAAGTCATGTTCACCCTCAACGAAAGCGACGCGACCATTATCAAGATCCAAACCCGACAGACCCGGATCCCCGAACTCGGTGACAAGTTCTCCTCCCGCCACGGGCAAAAGGGCGTCGTCGGCCTCATCGCCGAGCAAGCCGACATGCCGTTCTCGGACAAAGGCGTCGTCCCGGACGTCATCATGAACCCACACGGTTTCCCATCGCGCATGACGGTCGGCAAGATGCTCGAGCTCGTCGCCGGAAAAGCGGGCGTGATGTCTGGCGATTTCGGATACGGCACGGCGTTTGGCGGCAGTAAGATCGAGGACATGGCGGACATCCTCGTCCAGCACGGGTTTAGTTACGCGGGGAAGGACGGGCTGACCAGCGGGATCACCGGCGAATGTCTACCTGCCTATGTCTTTACCGGGCCGATCTACTATCAGAAGCTCAAGCACATGGTCCAAGACAAGATGCACGCGCGAGCCCGAGGTCCTCGTGCCATCCTGACGCGACAGCCCACAGAAGGTCGATCAAGGGATGGTGGGCTGCGGCTGGGAGAGATGGAGCGCGATTGTTTGATTGCGTATGGAGCGAGCCAACTGTTGCTAGAGCGGCTGATGATCAGCAGCGATGCCCACGAGTGCGATATCTGCGAAGTGTGCGGGATGATGGGGTATAAAGGCTGGTGTCAGACGTGCGAGAGCTCCAAAGGCATGGTGCGGATGACGTTGCCATATGCCGCGAAGTTGCTGATTCAGGAGCTGCTGAGTATGAATGTGAAGGCGAGCTTGGTGCTGGAGGACGAGTTTCCAGCTCCGAAACGGTAAGGGTCCAAGGGCTGAGGGGAACGGCTGGAGGCGAGGGTCGGTACTGCATAGCGGGTTATGGGGGAACACGAGCATCACGAGGGAATAATTTGGTCTGTAGGGCACATTGATTATACAGAGACAATAGGAGAACCTGTTTTATCAGCCAAATTCTTGTGTAGAAGGGTAGAATTGCACGCTCAGGAATGATTTGAGGGGGCGATGGTTGATGTCTGGCGTCTGGTGTAAAATCCGAGCTTTGCCGTATTCGGGTTAAGCCCTGGAAAGTGGAAAGCCATTCGCCATCTTCCCTTCGAATGTGTCGAACCCTTCTTTTGACAATCCAGCACCACGCTTCCTCGTGAGAATCGCGGAGGAATCTGAGACCGTGTATCAGAAGGCCGACAATCGATTGCATCCACTATCCCGCGAAGGATACCGACCGTTATCCGAACAATGACAACAGACTGAGATGGTGCTTACGCCGCGCTCACAAAACCACGGCTCCTACACACTTTACCCGGTCAGCGCTGTTGAATGCGGTCGCTCATTATAAGAGATTTCACCAGTATTACTATTCGGATTGGGTATTGAACGGGGATAAGAGTCCTGAGAGACCATACGGCGGTTGAACCGGTTGGAGTTGCTGCAGCAGTTCCTACCTTCGCAGCCCATTGTCCTGTCACCACGTCGACACATTCCCCCCAGGCGCGGTCATACCACGAGCGCATGAGGCAGAACAGGATCATAGAGGATTGCAGAGGATCACTGGGGGATTTAATGAGGATAGCTGCTGTGCGGGACGCATGAAATTTGGGTTGGGATCTCGATTCCGGCCGTCCAAGATCTGGTTTTCTCCCGCCGTTGTCCCTTCCCCTTGGTTCACCAATCCACGATAAATCCTGTTCGCAACACTACCTACCTTCTCTTCTACCCGCTGATCGATCGGATCTACCACTACACAACCGCGCACCTTATTCATCCAGCCCCTTTCGATCGCTTCATCCACCATGTCGGACCACAAGGAGGAAAGGGAATTGGAGAAGGAATTGGAGCTGGAGGTCCGAGAGATGAATATCAAGGAGGAAGATGGCCCGAACGCCGACCATGTGCCTGAGACTGACACAGTGAATGGCGAGCCACCCGTCAGCCGGGAAAGCTCTTCCACTCCGCACATCAATGGCGCCCCTCTATTCAAGCCGGAAGTGAAAAGTGAAAACGGCTCGCGCGCTCCATCACAATCTGGTTCATCACGATCCCCTCCCCCGAAGGGCGAAAGCCCATCATCTACTCCTCTCGAACATCCTGAATCCGACACCGAACAAACCATCGGTGGCGACATCGCACTCAAGATGGAGCCAGGAAAGGCACCAAGATTATCGCGAACATCATCGAAGAAGGTCGTGGCGAGACCACCGCCATTATTCGACCATTTACCTGACTCCACGGATGAGGCATGCACTCATTTTGAGGTGATCAATGATTGCCAGTATTCTGCGAAGTATTTGGGCTATACCGAGCCGGCGCTAGAGTGCGACTGCGCTGAAGAGTGGGGTAAGTCACTCCCCCAAGATAATTATTGATGATATTCTTCAAAGGACTCACTGACACTGGCTCCAGACCCCATCACCAGAGTTAATCATGCCTGTGGTGAAGATTCGGATTGCATTAATCGCGCCACCAAGATGGAGTGCACCGGTGACTGCGGGTGCGGGATCGACTGCCAAAACCTCCGGTTCCAAAAACGACAATTCGCCGATGTCTCAGTCATCAAAACGGAAAAGAAAGGCTTTGGTCTACGAGCGAATACAGATCTGAAGGAACAGGAGTTCATCTTCGAGTATATTGGCGAGGTGATCCAGGAAGGCGCTTTCCGACGCCGCATGATCCAATATGATGAAGCGGGCATCAAGCATTTCTATTTCATGTCGCTGAGCAAAGGCGAATTCGTCGATGCTACGAAGCGAGGCAACCTTGGACGATTTTGCAATCATTCTTGCAACCCGAATTGTTACGTGGACAAGTGGGTGGTGGGCGATAAGCTCCGCATGGGCATCTTCGCGGAGCGCAACATCAAAGCGGGTGAAGAGCTCGTCTTCAACTACAACGTCGACCGTTATGGTGCTGACCCTCAACCTTGCTATTGTGCCGAACCGAACTGCACCGGTTTCATTGGTGGCAAGACGCAAACCGACGCAGGCACGAAATTGTCGCATGCGACTATTGAGGCGCTTGGTATCGATGAGGAGGATGGCTGGGACTTTGCAGCTCCTAAGAAGCCCAGGAAGAAGAAGGTGGCTGAAGACGATGAGGACTACGTGGATAGCCTGCAGCCCCGATCTCTCGATGAGGGCGGTGTTACCAAGGTTATGGCGACCCTCATGCAGTGCAAGGAGAAATGGATCGCTGTCAAGCTGCTCGGCCGCGTCCAGCGATGCGAAGATGAGAAAGTCACGAACCGCGTCGTCAAAATGCACGGATACCGGATCCTCAAGACCACCCTGGCCATGTGGATCGACGATCACAATGTGTGTCTCCAAGTCCTCGATATCCTGTTCCGTCTACCTCGAATCACCCGAAACAAGGTTCAGGACTCGAAGATCGAGGAAACCGTGGAGAAGCTGAAAACATGTGGAGATGAGCGGGTGGAAAAGCAAGCGACAGAGATCCTTGGGCTCTGGTCACAACTGCAAGTCGGCTACCGCATCCCTCGCATCAAACGCGATCCCAACGCTGCTGCTTCTACCCCCACCCCAAACAAGTCCTTCGCCGACGATCGCCGAAATGTACGGGCTCGATCACGGTCAAGATCTCGATCACGCTCTCGTTCACCCCCGCGAGGGCCGTCTGCACCAACCGGGCCTCGAGGCAGCATGTCGCAACGGACGGGCTCTTATCGTCCTCCACATCGACCACCTCCTCCCCGAAATCAACTTCCGCCGGGTTGGTTTGTCGCGCAAGCCAACGGCCGAACGTACTATTACAGTGGCACTGGCGAGACGACCTGGACCTTTCCCACGCAGCCTGCAGGCGTTCCACAACCACCACCTCCGCCCCCGAACAAAGCCGTCACCGATACCCAGAAACTACAAGCGATCATTCAAGGCATTGTGCAGAGCAAGGAAACGACCACGCCAAGCACCGCGGATAAGGAGCGGGAGGAGGAACAGCGGAGGAAAGACGAGGCGAAGCTTGACAAGGAACGGGAACGCGCCAAACGGAAGTCGGAGAAGTGGAAGAGCTACAGCAAGGACAAGCAGATGAAGCTCTATGAGAACACCATCTTCAAGTCGGTCATTAAAGACGCCATGAAACGATATGCCAAGAAGCTGCCATCGGATGACTTGAAGCGCTTTGCGAAAGAGGTGAGTTTAAGGGAGAAGTGAGGTGCTTCGATACTGTCAGCTGACCCATGCAGATCAACAAGAAAATCGTCGCCTCTGACTACAAGAACAACCGTATCACCGACCCCACCAAGCTTACCGAGAAGCAAGAGTCCCACATCAAGAAATTCGTCAAAGACTTCTTCGACAAGGCCGTAGCGAAGAAACGCGATCATGATAAGCGCAAGGCCGAAAAGAAGGCCAAGGAAAATAAGGAACCCAAGAAGCAGGATGGTTCCACAACACCCACCGATCCCGTTCCCGAGAGCCTTCTCGCTTTCGTAGCTGGCCGTGCGATGAAGTCGACGGCAGGGAACGGAACCCCACAAGATGCCGATCTCGACGACGAGAATGACATGCTCAACGACATTTCCGACGACGAGGACGATGGTGAGCCAGAAGAGACGCCATCGTCACCGGATCGGAAGCGGAAACGAGATGATGAAGGCGAAGCCACGGCGGGAGCAAGCCCAGAAGACGTGGAGAGAGGCACATCGGAGGGCAAACGACAGAAAATGGACACTCCTCCTCCTCCACCTCCGCCTCCTCCACCTGCAGAGGAGGACGTGCTGACTCCTGCAGATGAAGCGGACAAGGATGCCGAGATGGCCGGAATGGTCGGCGGAGACGATCTGCCGCGCCCCGCACACGAGGACGGAAATGGAACGGTTGAACACGAGGAGCGGAACGGAGCCAGCGAACATAATGGGATACCACCAGGCAAGGAAGGCATGATTCGCGGCCCCAGCCCCGTGCAGCTGGCGACGCCGAGCACGAATGGCAGCTGTGAGCGGGAGAGCGACGATCGGGGACGCCAGCACTTCGAGGGCATGAGCGAGGAGCGGCTGAGGATGCTTGGGTTGAAGCAGTGATGCGAGCAGATCACGGAACAGTTGGGGTTCCTTTTCGGATGTATTCGGGGGCACGGAAACCGCTTGATTTACGTTTCCATAGCGATGGAGAGGGATATAATTTCAGGGGGCGTTGCGTGGGAATTGAGATGCATCCGATGGGGTTTCTGGGGAAAGGGACCGTTCCGACGCCGACAGGCATTCCGGTATACCCATGCTGAAAGGACAGCAAGCAGTCTCAAGTCTCGTCTACCTTTTCACCTTAGTACCTACAGAGTACGACAAAGTAATGTGTCCTTCTTCTCTAACCATCCAAACCGTCCGTGTATTCCTAAAATCGAGTCCTCCCTCTGATCCGAGTGGTTCTTTTACCCGTCCTCAGGTCACGGGCTCGGTGGAGGCGGTCCTATCCCAACGAAAGCTGACATCCCGGGTCCGATGAACGGCCCGCTGTCCAAGGAATTCATTCCGACAACGCATGGATCCCCGCCCGAAGTCCCCGATGTCGACCGCGTTACAGGGTCAGGACGCCTTTACCGGCACGCGATACCGTGTACGGTAAGTGGATGCGACCGGGAGCGGGAGACGAAACCGGGTGGCTAGTTCATTGGTGTGATGACTATTGATGAGATGGTGATAAGCGGATAAGCTTTGCAGTGTGCAAGGCAGATGCATGGTAACCACCTTTACTAACAGCTTCTAGTGATGATAGAGAGCTAAGAAAGGAGCGTGAGGACTGAGGAGACGCTACATTCCCCCGCTATCGTCCATTGACCCCACCAACACCCATCTCGCCTTCTCGCCTATTGACGGCATAACCTTGTCCTGGCAATCTATCACTCCGCATACGCCGGGGGAGCTCCTCCTCTCATACCTCGCGAAGTCGCGATACATGCACTCTTCATCTATTTCTTTCATGCATACCCCCGTCCTGCATATACGAATTGCTGGGCTGCTCTCCGAAGTAGACGTCTGATTCTCGTGCGGGAACCCTTGACCATGTCGTCCATCCTCCGTTATATCTCCCATGCCCGCCCAATCGTCTCGAGGGGCGTTGGTACGAAGCTCTCTCGACATACCGCCCGCTGCGTGAGCTCTCCTATAACCTCGATATCGGTGCCAAATTACAGACGCTTCGCTACGACACCCAAAAACATGTCGGAGATTTCTTACTTGCCGGGCGAGCCTACGGGCCCTGTGAAGACAACGGAAATCCCAGGCCCGAAGAGCAAAGCGGCCGCGGAGGAGTTGCACAAGGTGTTTGATACACGGAGCTTGAACATGATAACCGATTTTTCGAAGAGCTTTGGCAATTAGTATGGCACTCCAAGGAATCGAGAAAAGGAAGTTTGACTGACCAATTGAAGCATCGCGGATCTGGATGGGAATGTCTTGCTGGACGTGTAAGTGACAACCCTATCGATGCATCACCTCTCGATCGTGGTACAATGCTGATGCGTTCCTTTCAGATACGCCCAAATCGCCTCTATTCCGGTTGGTTACAACAACCCCAACCTCCTCAAAGCGGCCACCTCTCCCGAAATGGCCTCCGCCCTCGTCAACCGTCCCGCGCTCGGCAACTTCCCGCAGCACGACTGGGCGGAGATCCTCCACAGCGGAATCCTCCGCGTCGCCCCGAAAGGCCTCCACCAAGTCTTCACGGGGACAACCGGCTCCGATGCCAACGAGCTCGCCTTCAAGGCTGCGTTCATGTGGAAGGCCCTCCAGCGGCGTGGAGGCCCGCACGTCGATTTCACGGAGCAGGAGAAGTCCAGCTGCATGGACAACAAGAGCCCCGGTAGCCCTGACATGAGCATCCTGTCGTTCAAGAAGGCCTTCCACGGTCGCTTGTTCGGGAGCCTGAGCACAACCCGCAGCAAGGCGATCCACAAACTCGACATCCCCGCGTTCCCGTGGCCGCAGGCGCCGTTCCCAGCGCTGAAGTACCCGCTGGCCGAGAACGTCGAGTTCAATCGTACCGAGGAAGACCGCTGCCTCGCCGAGGTCGAAGAGGTCCTGAAGAACAACCCGTCCCCCGTGGCCGCCGTGATCATCGAGCCCATCCAGTCTGAGGGCGGCGACAACCATGCCACCCCGTACTTCTTCCAGCGCCTGCGCCAGATCACCAAGGACAACGAAATCTTGCTGATCGTCGACGAGGTGCAGACCGGCGTCGGCGCCACCGGCAAGTTCTGGGCCCACGACCACTGGAACCTGCCCGAGGGTATGCACCCCGACATGGTGACCTTCAGCAAGAAGGCCCAGACCGCCGGATACTACTACGGCCGCGACGACCTGCGCCCGAACCTCCCCTACCGCCAGTTCAACACCTGGATGGGCGACCCAGCGCGTGCGATCCTGTTCCGCGCCATCATCGAGGAGATCGAGCGCTTGAACCTCGTAGAGAACACGCGGGTGGTCGGCGACTACGTCTACAACGGGCTTGCGGCGCTCGCCCAGAAGTATCCGGGCGAGATCGTGAATCTGCGCGGACAGGGGCAGGGGACGTTCATCGCGTTCGACAGCCCAAGGCGGGACGAGGTGCTGATGAAGGGGAAGACGGTGGGGTTGAACATTGGGGGGAGCGGGGAGTCGGCGGTGCGGCTAAGGCCGATGTTGATCTTCCAGAAGCATCATGGTGAGTGGTATACCTAGAGTTCGTGTGGAATGGACGCTAATCGATCGCAGCGGATATCATGTTTGATTTACTCGAGAAGATCTTCAAGTCGTAAGGGAAACTGAAGTCGTAAGAGAAACTGAGGGCGCATGGTACAATGAGACACCGTTCTACCGTTCCGTGATGTGAGCGTAAGCATTTGACGGATACCGATGAGCGTGGAGACGTTCTGGTCTCATTCTGGTCTCCTGCCGATACTGAAACAGTCTTACTGAGGAATACTCTAGTATAGAATCATTATCGAATAGTTGCGGAACGAGAGGCGAAACTGATCACGCAGTAAAATTTACGCAATCCCATATTATTTGCATTATCCGAAAGCCATCCTGTTTCGCTATGATAATACAATACCGCTGTTGACCAGAACTTTTATACCGTGAAGGCTGTCCATCTAAAGCTTGGGGCGACCTTGTCGAGTTCCCTCGAGAAGGCCACCATAAAGCTGTTTCGTAGGGATGGCCTCTCATGAGTTGCTGATAAATTAATCCCATCCGCCGCCGCGCGAAAATTTAAAGGACAGACCGAAACGGCGACCATGGATCCATTCCATTGGCGTTTCCACTCGATGAAGGATCACCATGTATCGCCATAGTATGAAGCGAGAAAAACGCACTGAGGTATCAGACATTTTCCGGTCATGATTGTGTCGCCCGACAATGAAAAACAAAACCGAAATCCAGCCACGTTGTTATCCACCTATTTTGCATGTTTCTGCCGAAGCACACTTCGCGAGCATTCCTTCCGAGCAGTATCATCGCTGATTTATTCCTGCCCACCCATATACACAGCGTGCTGCTTCAACTCCCGACTATTCTTCACCAACGCACTCAGCCTCCTTAGCGTCGGATCCGTCGGGCTCTCCTCGTTCAACTGCATATACACTCCTTGCAGCCGACTCGCCAGCACGTCCATGATCTTCGGCAGCAACTGCACGATCTCCTTTGAGTTCGGGTTCATGTGCGCGAGTATCACCTCGAGCCAGTCGAGCCGGTCCTTGCGGTTGTTGTCGAGGTCGCCGGTGATGGCGGCGGAGATGGAGAGGGCGACGAGCGGGGAGAGCTGCCCGATGAACTCGGGGCCGAAGCGGATGAAAACGCGGTCGAAGAGCTCGGATTGGTTGTCGGATTGGAGCCACTAGAACGAAAAGGTTAGAACACGCTCACAGATCGAACAATCGCGTCGCGGGCAGACGAAGAATACTTACCATTATAGCAGCGTCGGTGAATTTGCCCTGGCCCAGCTCCGCCGTGATCATCTCGATCTCCGGGTCTTCCGGCTCCTTCACCGTTAGTTCCTGCGGTTCCATCGCCGCTCCGCTGGACACCACGGAACCCTCGGGAAGCGTAGCCAGCTTCTGTTGCAGCTTAGTTATCTCCCCGTACATCTCCGCATGCATCTCCGACTGCTGCTTCGTCAGGGAGATGAGTGACTCCGAAAGGTTGCGGACGAGCCCGACGAGCTGGTCGAGTTGGAGTGCATCGTGCTGGTGACGCGCATCCAAGTGCTTCAGATGCTCTCCAACACGTCGATCGACCTCGCCTGCAACCTGCTGTGCGGTCCCAGTGGCCATATTCGCGAAGGCTGGCGTCATGGCGTCGCGGATCGATTTGGTGAGATTCGCTTCGATGTGACCGGACATGCTCTTCGCGACGCGTTTGTCAAGGTCATTGAGGGCGTTGGCGATGGAAGAACGAACGTGATTCGGGATCGATGCAGTGACTTTGCTGAGCTCTTTCGCGAAGAGGTCCGCTGTGCTTCGCTCGACGGCAGTCTGGGCTGCGCTCTCTAGGCGTGGAAGGATATCCTTGTGGACTTGTTCCTGTATGACCTTGGAAAGAAGCTGTTCGGTGGTTTCTGCCACAGTGGATCCGACCATCTTAAGGACCGCCTCGTGCCGAGCGGCATTGGATGCATTCTGAACACGACTCTCGTTGTTGAAGTTCTTGTAAAGCTGATTCAACTTTTCATCGACGGCGGAATTCATCCCGCCAACGATGTATTCCGTCATGGAACGTTCGTAGGACGACATGTTCTCAGGCGTTGCGGAGGTCGGTGGTTGCTTTGCTTTGGCAGCAAGAGCGTAGGCGGAGGGTGAAGGTGAAGGTGCCCCCGTGTCGGCAGTTGTGTTGGCGATTGCAATTTTCGACGCGCCATTTTCGACTTGTGCGTCTTCACGTTTGGCGGCCTTCTTTTTCCTTCTCTCGCTTCGATCGCCGCCCTTCTCCTTTTCGCCCTTGTCTCCATTGATGATTGCAGCCCGCGCCGCATCCTGTTTGTTTTCCACGCGTGCCAGCGTCGACGCAACCGCAGATGGCGTTCCAGCCGGTGCGCTCCGTTGAGCTCGAGACGGCGTTTGGTCTTGGTTGGTCCGCGACTCTCGGGAGGATCTCACCGATGAAGAAGGTCCTCGAGTTGGTTCCTCGGGAGCGGATTCAGACTGCGACCCACGTTGCGGGATTTCTTTGAGATTTTCAATAGCGATGATATCGGCCGAAGCCGCGTCAATGGTGTGCTTCGCCTTTCCATCATCATCCAAGCCCATATCATCCTGGCGGACGCCAATTGCTGTGATGCCCTTGGAATGAAGAACATAGAGTTCAAACAAGGATTCCCCTTCCAAAGTCCCAACGGGAGAACCGGTAACCGGTTCATTCAGGATCTCGAAGCTTCGAAGCTGGCCCTTGGTACCCAATGAAATCTCCCTGATACTATTCATAATAGCAGTCGATTCCGGGATATGGATCTCGCCGCTATTGGCCGCAATGAGAGCAAGATACTTGGCTTGGGACATGGCGGAAATATTGTATCTCGGTGCGGAGACACTGATGAGATAAATGGAGTTCCTTGTCGGATGCCCCACGACAATCGTGCTGGATTTGGGGTGATAAGCAATTTTGCAGATCGGGTCGCTCTCCGACTTGTGTGGAAGGTTGATCTCCTGGATTGGCTTCAAAAGAGCCAGATCCCAAAGCTGCAGGGTGTGATTCTGCTTCATGCCGACGACGAGGTATCGCTGAGCGATGCCTCGAACGTAAGGCCGTTCTTTGTCAATGAAGAGAACCGAAGTAGGCCATGCTTTCTCGAACGGTCGAGTCGTAGCAAATTGAGTGATCGGCTCCTTGACTTCTTGGAAATCACGGTCCGACGTCGCCTTGCGGATATCCCAGAATTTCACAATCCCTTGCTTGTCCAAAGACGCAATGACCGAATCATCCTCGGAGAAGATGAAATCCTTCCCAGCTTTGCCGATGTGGATCGCTCGGGGTTGATCCTTGATCCAGTCGTCGACAGCAACAACCCGGGTGCTTTGCTTCACCACGTAGCCCTCTCCAATATGAGGCTTGAAGAGATGGATAAGTTTTCCGCGAGCGATCGCGAAATACTCGGGGTGTCGAGAACTCGGCTTCGCCCGAGTCTTGATTTGGCCGGCGCTGGCATGGTCATCCTGAACCCCGAAGGGTGGGAAGACCAAGCGCGTGGCACTGAGATCGGCACGACCCTCGGGACTGTTATGGTTGGCGAGCTGTGCCCAGAGTGTATTGCCATCGATCGATGTGGCAAGAATCGTCTCGTTCTCCAACAAAGCGCTACCGTGTTTAGACACGCAGAGGCCGATGTTGAACACCCTCGACTTCACTTCTTGGAAGAGATGCTGAGTGCTGCCAGAGTCTTGCTGAATGACACGGATCCCATTGTTCTTCGGAATGGCGTAAATTATGAACTTCTGCGATGCGGCGATCAGACTGCGGTCCACTTGATCGAATTCCTTCTTCAAGCGGGCGATCTCCAGCACCGAGCCCGGCCGAATTTCCACGGCAGGCTTGGTAGATCCTTTGATGGTGATCGAGACGAAGGGCTTCATAGGGAAGTTGTAGGTGATAACGTCGTAGGAAGCCTGTTTCGGTGGTTCCTCGACAGAGGAACTCGATCGACTAGCAGCTCCCTGAGGAGGGTGAGCAAAGTCACGGATCGTGCTGTCGAAAGCTTCCGCCATCGGTTCGGGCATGCCGTCGTCCATAAGTACCTCTTTACCACCACTCTCGTCGATGTCCTGCTCAACTTCTTGAGCGGCTTCTTTAATAGCTTGTTGAGTCTCCTCGACGTCTTTCTGATAAACGGTATCGATTGCAGTAATGTCAAGTGCAGATTCGATTTCCTTTTTGACCGCTTCCCCTACTTCACTCACAGCTTGTGAAACTGTTTCTGCCCGATCGCCATTTTCACGTGGACGTTGTCGGGAAGCAGAAGGTTCTCGATCCGCGCGTGACAGCGATTGTGGGGTTCCATTTCTGGAGGCCGGTTTGGGGTGGGCGGAAAGCTGCTCGAAAGGATTGACGTAAGTGAAAGGGCTACCACGCGCTTTCTGCTGTTGTTCAATATCGAACGCTGTCGCCGGAGACTCCTGTGCTCCGAAGATGTGGGGTGTTTTGCCCGGTGTCCCTTCGGTCGTATTCAAGTCCGCCACACTTTGGGTGAGATCTTCGATTCCACTATGTCCAACCATGCTGCGATCTTCTCCAGTCGATTGATCTTCGGAGGTATCTAGCACCTGGTCATTCGGTGTCTGAGTCTCCGGGGGAGTCGGCCGAGTCGATTGCTTCGCGGTTTGGTTTAGTAGTTTGAGGAGATAATCCTGAGCTTGGAAGGATCCAGAAGACGCTGAAGGCTTAACATCGGTTGGATAAGAGGTCGTGCGAGATGTTTGTGCCGGCTGAGGCATTGTCGGCATCCTAGAAAAAGATGCCACCAAGTCCGAGGCCGAGACTGCCCGGTTCTCCTTCGACGGTTCCGCAGCTCGCGGATAGATATTCTGCACGCTCTGCGCCATTTGCTCTTCTGGCGAGAACTGTTGTTGTCGTGCTGGTGCTGCGGGAGCCTGGCCGGTGGTTGCTGGGTTGAACCGAAGGAGGCTCAAGAGGCTCGCAGTGCGACTTGTCGATTGTGGGTCTGGCGTGTTGGCCGCGGATGGAATATTGGGACTCATGATCGCAGAAGGGTGATGGGGTTCAGGCCCATGGGGATCTGGAGAATAGATGGGGGAAGAAACGGCGGGTTCCTGATAATCGGGCGCGGTGGCAGTTGGATGAGATCTCCGAGCTTGATCTTGGCTCTGAAGCCTTGTGAGCAAATCCTGGATGTCACTCATGACGCATGGGTGAACCTAGGACTTGGTTGGTAAGAGATGGTCGGTCCTGAAGGAGAAGGATAAAGAGTGAAAGAAAAAAGGAATAAACTAAGGAAGACGAGATATCGTTACTCGTTTGTACCAACGCGAAGTGAAGTCTCACGCTGCAAGTGTGTGATACCGCTGCTGTCACGCGTAGATTAGTCATCTGCGGCCGTGGCTGGGGCGCTGGGCGCCTGGGCTGACCACTCAAATAACCAGTTATTAAGTTTCAGCTGAGTCATGCACGAACCCAGCGTCTGTAATGAAATTTTCATTCTCCTGTTGATGGGACAACCGACAGCGACCCTCTACATTTGGTATTCCGGAATTCAATATCAATCCGATACTACAGCTTACGAGTCTTCAAATCTCAAGGCCTTGGGATGGAACTGAATCACCTCAATACCACTCGTAAGAAACCCGCTGGGAAGAACGAAACACATGTACGCCAGTACCTACACACGATACGGCCAAAGGACATCACGTGCTGATTCTCCTAAGGTCCAAATTGTATGAGTGAAATCGGTTGCAGTGAGTAGATCATGATTGAGTACATGGTATCATATGATATGTAAGTCAGGGAAAGAGCCCATCTAGAGTCCATCTTCCGTTTCCCCAACATGTATGGCGACGATCCCCATCTCCTCCAAATTAACTCAGGAGCTGCAACTACACTGGAGCATCGACTTGTACTTTGGAACATCGCCCACGAATCTGCCTTCGTCTTTCTCGTTCCAGTTCCAGGTGTCGGCAAAGGGGTTGAGTACAAGCTCCATGACTCCCGGGAGAATATCTCGGTCGCCCTTCTTCTCAACCCGCTCGATGATTTCGTCGAGGATCCATGACCGTGGAACGAACTGCGACAATGTCAGTGGCGTATCGACGGGCGTACAATGGGTTAGGTAAGTCTTACATTTGGGTTTGCCGACTTCATGGCGCGAATCCGGTCCGAGTCGGCTAGATCTGCCCAGTCTTCCACCACCCTCGCCCTCCACTTGTCCAACCAGTTCGATAACCGTTGACGCGCCTCGCTTTCATCTCCACCAATCCCGTTGCTGGAAAAGAACCGCCCGGCAATATCTTTCCTCTGCTCTTCAGTCTCGAGCTCCGTCGTCTTGAGGTCGGAAAGACGCCGGAAGAAGTGGTTGAAATCGAGCTCATGGGCTTCCATGGTATCGAGCGCCTCGCTGACGATGGAATCGAAATCGCCTCCTTCGGATTTGCCCGCCTCCGGGCTCAACGTCCCGTTCAATTGCTTCAACCCAAATCTGGCAGCCATGAGGCGCTTGTACTCCTCGATGAACAGCGTCTTGTACTCCTCGCCGGTTTTCTCGATGGCCTCTTCCGCTCGCTTGATGAGTTCATCCGCGTCCTCCTTGCGCACGCCGGCTTCGACGAACTCCGTGTGATCGACGTTCGCACCCGCACCCAACAGCTCGCCAAGCGATTCTCCGAGACGAAGAAGGTTCCACCAAATGATCGTGGGCTGGTTCTTGTAGCTGTATCGAAGCATGTAATCGTCGTGATTCGGGGTATATGAGGGATCGAAGCTATCCAAGAACGCGAACGGTCCGTAATCCATCGATAAACCAATAATGCTCGTATTATCGGTGTTCAGCACGCCGTTCATAAATCCATATGCCTGCCATGCCGCCACCGAACGGGCATTGGCTCGCGCAATTTGCCGGTAGAGCCGAACATACCGATTCTGTGCCTTCACGCCTTCCCCTTCGATCTCGTCTTTCCCCAATCCCGTCCTGGGTGTTTCGAAATCTTCGGCTTTGGTGGTCCCCGCCACGGTTCCCGGCAGCTTATCCCATCCTCCAAAATTATTCTCCGCGACGTAATCCGCCAGTTTTCTCACCATGTCTCGGTCGCCTCTGGCTCTTTGCAGATCGAACGTCCCGATGCGCACCCAACTCTCGGCAAACCGGCATACAATCGCTCCAGGCTCGAGCCTTTCTCTGAGGACCTTGGAATTCGGTGCCAAGGTAAGCGACAGCGCCCTCGTTGTGCGGATGCCGATGGCGTTCAAATACTCGCTGATGACGTACTCCCGAATCGACGACCGTAGCACGGCTTTGCCATCTGCAAACCGGGAATACGGCGTCCTCCCCGCGCCTTTTAGCTGTATTTCGTACCGTTTCCCGGTCTGCGGATTCGTCGACTCGAACAGCGAAATCGCCCGCCCATCACCGAGCTGGCCCGCCCACTGCCCAAACTGATATCCACCATAGCATTGCGCCCACGGATATATGCCTTCCTGCTTCTCTTCATCCCACGTCAACGTCTTATTCCCCGCCACCGCCTCTTGGAACTCGGGATTGTCCACCTCCGATTCCGCAATTCCAATGTCTCGGAGCGCCGCCTTGCTCACGCCGAGCAGCTCGGGCGACTCGACACCTTCGGGCCGGACGAATGTGTAGAAAGCCCCCTTGACGAGACGGGGGCCCAGGTTGGAGCGCGGTGCGGAATGCGAGGATTGCGGGGTGGGGAAATCTGGGTCGGCAGGGAGGGCGGAGGTGAAGACGGACGATTTCGGTAGGTCGCGGAGCGTATATCCGGCTGGGGAATTTGGGACTCCATCCTGAGCAGCAGCAGCAGCAGCAGCAGCATCACCGCTGCCTGAATTCAGGTGCGCGGCCATTTTCTGGAGGCGTATTGCCTGAGAGCTAAATGTTCGAGAAGCCGTTTTGAGAGTTCCGGAGGCTCCGAGTCGTGGGAGAGAGCGAGATAGCATGAACGGTGTCGAGAAGGTCGAACCAATTGAAACCAGGAGGATTAAAAGAAGAATCAATAGAAGGATTCGGCATTGTTGGAGACAATTCCAAATGTCTACTTGCCACCCCTCGACATTCGGTCATCACGGATATAGAATTGTGGAGTTTAGTCAGGGCTCGATGCTCCCAAGGGATGTGGCGTCATAATTACTTCGTTGCTAAAGCGAGCGACGCGTGCCATAAACGCAACTCTATCACAACTTCCTACGGGGGACCGGAATCCATTCCAGCTCAAAACATGAAAACAGCCATCACCAAATCGACTGGTATCTGGTTATCTGGTCTATTAGATCATGATGCATTCATAAATCCATCCATTTATCGTCCCGTAGTATTAACCGTTGTCAGATCCTCTACTCGCTCCTAAACACGATCCCATTCGCCTACCCTCCACATCATAATCACCGAGATCACAGGTATCCTATCCATGCGCACTATTCCAATCATGTGCCATTTCGTGCCTTATCCAAAGCCGCTGTTAACGCCGCTAATGACCCAAATTGGGAGAAGTGCGGAGGTCCGCTGCTCCCGGTCCCGGGCAATACCCACTCCTGGAGAGTCGCATTCCAGATATGGCTGCAAGTTCGTCAGATCGACCCCATCGTGTACCCTCACTCCGGAACCACTCACCCGTTGAACTGCTCCAAGACCAAGCTTTGCTCTCCATACTCCTCCGTCAAAGCGCGAGCCGAGTTGTTCGGTACCAGCGCCGTCACGCCTTCGAATGTGGTCTCCGTCAACGGAAACAGATCCTCGACCCGATAGAAATGGTTGTTCTTGCATTGCACCATACCAGGGTTCCGCTCCGGCGCGGTTTCAGTCAGGCCGGTGATGTCGATGAAGAGGCCGTTGCGGACGTCGATCCACCTCGCGTCGATGACGTTCTGGCCGTCTCCATATGTCCGTTCCCCGATCCAGCTGTTCACGTCGAGGAAATAGTCCCGTTGAACGGCCCTCCGCATCCACCGTGACGTCGAGACCGAGTCGTCGTACCGATGCAAGGTCTGATTATACTCCGAGCCGAGACGTTCCAGTGTCTGTACAGATACTTGTGTGTCGATGTCCGTATCCCAAGGAAGCATCTGGTCCACGTCAGTCATGTCACTGGCGGCGCATTACGGGCTTGTATCGCGTTCGCGGACCTTTTTGTTCCACCACCAACCCAACAGCGTACCATGTGCCAGCCATGTCTCGAGGGTATTTTGTGCGAAGAAGTCCAAGTACGACCTTATAAGGTGATATAAAGCATCCTGCCTCATCTCGTTCGAGAGGGGTCCTTTGTAATATCGAGCATCATAGTGCCAATCTCCGCTATCCGAGTCATTAATTCATAATTCGGCGGTATGATACTGTCTTGCGGTGCATGAAAATCCTTACTTTGGCTCACCTGCGTCTATCAGAAGTCATGTCTTAGTTGTTTAGGAGCTGGCAACTCACTGAAGTATTTCGTGCTCTGTGTCCCCCCATTCACATTGGACGTTCCATCGGTGTGTTGTTGCTTCGCGATCGATAAGCCCAAGCTCACCGGGAAGATCGTGAATCGAAGGCAGATGATGCCAATCGTGAAGATACCAGTCGCTAGTATCACCAAGAAGACCTTGTACATCGACACTACGCGCAAAGGATTTGCTGCGAGGACGGGCTGAGCGAGCATGAAGGTATCTATTCATCTCATGGAGCTTCTCATGCCTGGAACGAATGAAAATAACCAACGGCGCGATGATCAAGATACCTGCGGAACTTCACTGTGAACTTTAGAGTGAATCCCGAGACTTTTGTTCAAATATATTCGGAACCGGTTACGCTTGTCCAAGGTTTCCAGGTTTCCGAACTGGTACTAATATGACGGATGAACCTGAGACGGGACTCCACTTGGATCGCCATGGCTTAAAGCTAACACCCCCAACTACCAAGTAACGACGGCACGGAACTACACGGATAATCAGATAGAGAGAAATATCTAAAAGGGTCTTACGGTGGGTCCGATTCAGCGGGGAAGTTGTCGCAGGCTGCTGCTCTGCGGGCTGCGGCGTTACGGCGTATGACATCTGATTGTTCATTGTCCACGGGGTCGTTGTCATGCGGTTTCTTATTTCGACGACGTCTAGACTCATAGGAATGGCTTTTTATGCCCAATATCTCACCAGTCAACTATCACTTAAAAGATCGTTTGGAAAGGTTACAGCCGGTTCATTCTGGTGGGTCGAACCGGTAGACCTTAGGAGAGGGCAAAACCGCGTTAAACGACGAAAAAAACGGTTGCCGCTAGACCCTGAAAGCGACTTTTGGATCTGGCCTTATCTGAGACTTGAAATCCTCTATACCAGTTCCAACTCCCCAGTTAAGGAAAACCTACCGTGTCACCGAGTCTAGTGTTGTATCCAGGCTGGCCAATCTGAAATTCCGAGTCCAGATTTTTGCCAGTTCGTCGGGGTACCGCCGAATCCGCTTATATTCGAACGCTTGAGCATTTAGTCGGATTTAGTCAGTTACGGCTATCGCAGGGTGACGTATTCCCTACTGGGATGCCATCATGGAGACGTGGAGTGCCGTGGCCCGTGATAGCAAGATCAGCAACTTCTCCGACTCTCACTCGACGGGAACAATCTCCAGTATGCTTACCTCGCCATTCCACCCGACCTTTATATCCTTTGGGAAGTACTTCGCCACGGGTCCAGAAAGCTCCTTTGCAAAATCCATCTGTCGTCGATTCGTCATCGTCAGGTTGGATTAACCGCTGAAACACTGACGGATATGGTGGGCCGTGGCTTGTTTAGTATGGCCCACTTCCCGCTTTGGACGCGTGTCGTGTCGAACCTCCAACCGGCAAGCAATTGCCCGAACATCCCCTAGTTACCGTAATCGATCTCCCCTGAGTTTGACTTACGTCGAACGAGTACCCCATTCTGCAATATGTCACGCGAGCTCCGACAGCATCACAGAGATCGGAGTGTCTCATATCAACGAAACCTCCATTTAAATTATTGCCGAAATATGGCTGCTATGTTCTGCGAAGGTTCCTAGGGCCTTCTTATTTCCTTCATCCCCGGTCCTCGGTTGTTTTGCGGACAAGTTCCATATAGTAATAGTCCAGCACTATGCCGATCTGCATGCAGGGAGTTGCTCAGTCACTCATCCCATACGACGGAACTGAGCTCTCCTGGCACCGATGCCCAAGCGATCACTTGTACTAAATCTCCCGTCTCCAAATTTCTATTCCAGAACATAACCCGCCCGCTCTTCTGATTCGCAACCGCCAATATCGTTCCGTCCTTGTTGAATGCCATATGTCGTGGGGAGACTCCACCGGAAGGGCTGAGCCCCTTCCACACCGCGTCGCCAACCGAATTCAAACTGAACGTGGTGATGGAGTCGGAGAAGGTTTCGAAGGAGTCGACGGGGCTGCCATCGCCATCTCTGCGCTTGAAGAGCTGGTCATTGCGGTTGGAGACGAAGATATTTTTCTTGTCCGGCTGAGAATCCCGATGAGCGACGGCGCCGAGAATGCAGGGAGGAAGCTCTACTCACCGAAATCAATATCTCCCCGACTGATGCGCCTCCCGGGGCAGGATAGAGCCCAAATATGGGTTGCTCTCCCCAATGGATAAACACCATAATCCCCTCCTCGTAGTAGACATTGTACATTGTCATCGTGTTGCTCAATTCTCCCACGACATACAGAAGTGTCAGTGGGTACGGGTCATCAAAGGTGACGAATGCTGCATGTCGTGGCCCTAGGCCCGGTCTCATGTCCACAGCCGGGGCAGTATTTTCGGGTTCATTGATCCCAACTACAGTTTCCTCCAGAAGAGCATTCGCGCCCAGTCTGAAGACTCGGAGCTGGTCGCTGCCGAGATCGGGCACCACAATGAATTCGCCTGTTGGGTCTAGGATTGCCTGGTGAGGATGGGGCGCCGATTGCCGCTCGGGATCTTGTTTGCCGCCGCGCGGGTCAGGAGAAGGAAGGCTGAGCTGGATGTAGGTCCCTTTTGTCGTGAGGCCCAAAGCGCCTGTGGTGAATGACTCAACAGCCCCTCCAGCGCTATTTGCAGTCAGCGGGTTGGTCCTAAATTCCCGAGCTAATGAAGGCCAAAGGGCTGGGAAGTTGGAATGATCATGATATCAAGTGCAACTTACTAGTCTGCAATGACCACCGCTCGACTATCGGCCGGTCCACCCAGCACTGCACTAACCGGCCCTGCTCCTATAGTCCTGCCCTTGACCCGGACCAACCTACCAGTATCGAGGGCCAGGAACGATACGAGTGATCCGTTTCCTGTCGTCCATCCCTCATCCAAGCAGAACAGAGTGCGGTTTAGCGCATTCCAGGTCAACCATGAGGGATTCAGACCACAACCGTTGTTCACAAACGATGTATGGTTCGATATGTCGCCCTCAAGAGGGTCGGGAAGAGCAATGGTTGTGACGTTGCCCAAATATGAGGAAACGAAGAGGTTGGCGCAGGATGAGAGTGCGGGAAGCAGCGTAAAGACGAACGCGGAGAATTTGAAGATGTGCATGGCGACTTGAGTTAGCGTGGCTGCTGGATGCGAGGCTGGAGATCTGATATTTGGAGTTGGACAGATCGAAAAGTCGTTTCACAGTCCTTACTGCAGCCTAAGGATTGTGCTCTAGGACTTGTGTTTCATCGTAGGATCGACCTTCGGTGTAACGGTTATGCCGATAGGGAAAATGAGCGCTCATAAATACTTTGACTTGAAATGCATAAACTGACTCAATTCTTCACTGTTCGCATATGATCGGCCATAGATACCAGGCGTTCACGATAGCCGCACAGACAACAGTTCACGATGTGAGCATTGACTGGACGGAAAGAAGAGGCAAAGAGAATATTTGAACCATAAACCAGGCCGAGCTTTGCTCTCCAGATATGATAATTCCTGGATTTTTGCCCATACTTACTCCCGATACTTTAAAAAGCCTGGTAGAGTGCCATATGTTCGATATGAATGAGAATATAAATGTATATCCTTGCCTGTCAAGATTGCCGTTATATCAGATGTGGATTGAACTGTCATCGGCATCCAATCGTTTGTTTCGGCGAAGCGGCGAGTTCTTCTGTTGCCAAATGAAGCGAATTTCTATTAACTTTAGATGCCATCATTTGGTTGGACGAAGCTCTAGCCGGGTAATTTTCAGATTGGAAGGTTTGGAAGATGAAGCAGAGGAATACGGAATTAGAATCTGACTGCATGTGTGCTGTGCTGCAGATTTTATACCCAGGAAATCTCGCCGTGTCGGGGTAGACACCTTGACACAACCACCGACACAATCGATAGCTCACATAGGATATGACTTGACGAGAAAGAGGCAATAATAAAGGTGGTACGGTACGGACATTCCATTAAAATAGTTACAGGTATTAGAACGCAAAGGTTCTCACATCATTTCATCATTGACTTTCACTCATTTAACAGTCATAAGTCAGCCTCAGGCCAGCAACCCCAGCTTGTTGATTAAACTCAATGCTTCCAGCCCCCGTCTCCCCAATGGCAAACCGGAATGCCAGCTTTGGAGCACAAGTGACGCTATTGATCCATTGCGTGCTCGGTCCCCACGATGCGCTTTGAAACCGAACTGTCCCAATATGAGCTCCTGGCACAGGGCTGTACGCCCACGAAATATCGATGCCCCTGGGGCTGCGGCTCAAGGGCGCCTGAACGGAGTAGACGTAGACCAGATCGTTGCCGGTCCGTTGAATGGGGTAGTTCTGAGGCCAATATGCTTGGAGAGTGCACCCCCAATGGCCGTCCGGGACAGTGAATTCGGCGAAGGCATCTTTATTGTTCGTGTTGCCTTCGCTCTGGGAGGCGATGAAGCCGGGGAGGTAGGATTCCACTGGCCGAGCCTCTTCAACCCGAGCGATGTCGGGGTAGATGGTGGTGCAGGCGCGAGGCTGGAGATTCTCTGTAGGAGTGGGTGCCGCAGATGCCAGGAGGGCAGAGGCAGTGAAGAGAAAGGCAACAGCTGACAGATACATGCTGTGATGCTGATAGGTGCAGGGTAGCAACTGATTACTCGGAATAGGAGATAATGATATTGGATAATAGCTTAATAGAGCGGGGTGATGATAGCATTGAAAGTAAACGAACGCGATAGACAGCTTTATATATTCGTTACCATGTCGCCTGATACCATGAGCCATGCCTCCAAGTTGTTCAGCTTCGCCCAAAAACGGACATCAGATGGACGTTACATCTACCTCCCCGCCAACTGGGCTCATGGTCTAGGATGGCGCTCCGTCTATATCCGTATGCATCCCGTCGAAGTCGACCCCAGACGAGATCCAACGCCCAGCGAACGGTCACGATGCATGCCAACGTTCAGCTCATGCAGCGGCAACGTCCGTAAGCATTCAATGAGAAGCAATCAAGTGACTCCGCAATGGGACTAGACGGTTTCCGCAAGTGAGACTTATAGCAGAGCAAAGACTATCGTGATAAAATTAGAAGCAAAGCCTTACTCCAAGTCAAATACCACATAAGAAACCACAATACGGAGTATCGCCCGCCTCTTCTCGATTGGCCAACAATACGAGCTGTATTGGGTGGTACATAAGCCAAGAGAGATGAAAACTTGAAATGTGTGTGTTGTTGGATGTGAGGGAGAGGGCGTGTCCGAAAATATCGTATTTATCTAGAGATTTTGGACAGGAATCTCCGCACCGCTTCCCTCTCCACAGCTGACTGACCCTTGAACCCCCTTGGACCGTTCCTATTCCGGATGATCTTTCTCACCTTATTACCTAAGACAATCAAACCCTACGGCACAGCCGATTTATATAAAGGTTTCCTTTCGAGGCTGAGAATCGTCAATATTATCTGCATTATTCCATAATGCCGAGCCTCAAGCTAGACCCGACCGAGCCATCTTCTATACACCCTTTGCGACCGGTGTCCGATGGATGATCACGCGAGATCAAACGAGATATTGCGAGGCGTCGTTTGTGCATCTGCCCCGGCTTCTGAATGCAACCACTCTCAACGGACTCGTGCTTCTTGGGCAACAATCACAAGGCGGGAAATCGGGACTTGCATCTCCTGTCAATGCAGAATCGGGCAAACTACCCTCTGTCCACTTTGTTGACGCCACAGTTGGATACCCCCGTGTCTACCGCCGAGGAGCTAGCGCTGTATCGTCGTGCTTGTATTCTTGTCGCGTTCCAGGTCATATCGTACAGGAAATAATGGAATTTATTAGTAATACCTGACTTTCTTAATAGCTTACTAATAGACGGAAATCTAACTGGGAGAACCAGCACGCCGCTGTTAATATACTCGAAGACTGTAACTGTCCTAAGGGGATGATTGTCACGGTTCATATTTCCGTTGCCTTATGCCTCACGACGTGTTGGTGATAGGTGTTATGGTCCCAAGCCTGTGGCCTGGGCCCTTGGGTGTGGCTGGTGAATATCCAGGAGTCATGTGCAAATTGTTGTGTTAGGACTTTAGGACTCGACAAATGGAGGCCTATATCTCGCGCACAAAGGTGCTAGGAGATTTCCTCTCTTTTCCTCTTTCTGTAGTTTAGATCAATGGAACTTGGTAATCGCAGACCTTGCGCATCCAGACCGTGTCAATAGGAGATTATCATATAAGAGCATTACTATGCCAGTACCTGTATATATTGTTTCCCTTCTGTTTGTTTTCCTTTCTCTTTTCTTCTTCATCTTTCGTGTGATGTTATCTGGGACACAAGGGAAAACACTAAGCTGTCCGAAATATGCCTAGCCTAGGGGTAATGGGCAGTGAAAAGGAAAGTTAGGGCAGTAGAAACCAACAGGGGCATCTTGCGACAGCTGTCAGCTGCAGATGACGAGAGAACGCCAAGACCATTCGTTGACACACTTGTCTCCATCTCAACTGCATCTCCCAATTTTCTGGCCGTAGAGCCGTCAAAATGGCACTGAATCTCGCTGCGTCTGACCGAGATCTTATCTGTGATATGACTCTGTGTAGCTTGCTAACAACTGCCTAAATAGCCGACGCTGCTCACTGCAGCGAGCGATCGGTCTGACACATCCGCTCTAACTTACGCTGTTTTAGCACTACTAGAGCTCCCTTCAACGGACTCGGCCAACCGCGAAGCATCACCCCTCCCATGCTACAAGCGCTCTGCGAACACTTGATCGAGAAGCCAGAGCTATTTCAAGATGAGATGGCCGTCTTTCTATGGGATGAGTTTGAAGCCCAGGTAACGGTCTACAGCATCGGCAGAGCGCTGGCCTCCGTTGGCTGGTCGAAGAAAGCCGCTCAGCGAGTTGCAAAGGAACGAAACGTGGACCTGCGAGACTTCTACCTCTATAACCTATCGTCCTTCCGGTCGTATCAGCTGGTCTATGTAGACGAGTCCGGATGTGACAAACGGATCGGATTCAGAAGAACAGGCTGGTCGCCCGATGGAGTAACTCCTGTACAGATCGCCCAGTTTCACCGTGACCAGAGATATCAGATTCTACCAGCTTATGGCCAGGATGGTATTGTGTTTGCACAAGTGTTCCAGGGAACGACGGATGCCACAGTCTTTGAGGATTTTATTGAGCAGCTCCTTCCTCACTGCGGCAGATATCCGGAACCTAAATCGGTTATTATAATGGACAATGCATCCTTCCATCACACAGAACGGGTGGAGCAGCTTTGCCGTGATGCGGGGGTTAAGCTTCTGTATCTGCCACCGTACTCCCCAGATCTCAATCCAATAGAAGAGTTCTTTGCTGAGCTGAAGGCATTCATTAAGCGGAATTGGAAAGAGTATCAGGAGAATCCCGCACAGGGTTTTGATGCGTTTCTGGAATGGTGCATTGATATAGTCGGAGCCAGGGACGACAGCGCCAAAGGTCATTTTCGACAGGCGGGGATTACTGTTGAAGAACAAAAGTTATACGGTGATGGATATTCCTGAATGACTTGGCTATAATGCCCATGGTAATAAATGATTAAAGATTTATACAACGCTCTCAGAGTCCTCAGTGTCCGGCTTGTATCTCTTCGCCCAGTGGTCAATATCACTCACAAAGCGTCGAGCAATGCCTCGTTTCACCCCATTCTTGACCAGAAATTCCGGGTCCTGATCCTCGTGAACCTGCTCGAGGTCAAACCCTTCCATCAATACCGCGTCACAGGCCTTTTGAAACTCATCCTTCAGACTTTTATCGCCAACGTTTGACTGCTGCCACTCGCTGTATTCTCGAACGGCAGTATCGCGAAGACCAGGAATGTTGAGATGGTCGGCCGGCAAGGAGTCCGAAGGCTGTACCGAGGTTGGTGTTCTGGCGTATGAAACAGGAATAGAGGCTTGTGGTGAGTTTCCCGGCAGCACATTGGTAATGTTAATGGGAGCCATGCCAGATATGGATTTGGCTGACGTCGCCTGCCTTCTCTCAAGTCTTTCCTGCTCTTCTGCATATAAGAGATCGCGGATGTCTTCCGGAACATCATCATGGGTCCTAAGGGGGTGGCCCTGCTGAGCATATTGGATAAGTCTCCTGAAGTGGTGTGTCTTTAGCTTATAGTGCTTCTTGCCCACAGGATCGCGCCAGCAGTGAGGTCCGAGATGACATGGCGGCCCTGGACATCGCATAAGATTGTATACATCTCGCCAGACTGAGGGCTGTCCGGGAGATTCATCATCGGCATCGAGAAAGTCGGCCCGTTCTGTGAGCATTGCCTGTGTCGCTGAAGAGCGGCCTCGATTACCTTTCTTCTTCAAGGAACCAGCCAGCTCTTGGCCAGTCTCTATATTGCTGAATATAATGTCTACCCTGAGTTTCTTACCAGCGCGGAACAGCTCACCCCAATTTACAAGCTGCTTTTCAATAATCGACCAGTCTATATCAGTGTCGTCAAAGCGCTTCGTTAAGTCACGCTCGGATCGTTCTGTCACTGAGACGACGATATTGGTATCATCCGGCTTCACACACCTGTTGTGGGGTACCTTTCTACGCAAGAGCTTCTCCAGTTTGGGTTGCAGGAAGAGCTCCCAGAATGCAGCTGGTGCCAGCACCAGATTCTGCTCAGTATCCTTCGAGATTACTTTGTTGTTCACAGACACCTTCCACTCGATCGAATAATGGATGAAACTTGGCGGGTCCTTATCGTATGTCATCTCTGTGTCCCAGTCCGCTCGCTGAACCAAAGCAAGCTTCTCTGGCTGCTGCTGCTGTTGTTCTACGCTGCATGTCTCTTCTCGATGGACCGTATCGGACGTGCTATGGGCCTCGACGGGAGCGGGTACTGGAGGCGTTGCGACTTCATAGACGACATCTGCGTCCTGCGTGCGTAGGAAATCGATTGGTTCCCAACCGTTGTATGACAGAAGGTGGAAAGGATCGTCCATGGTTATCCCAGTCGGATGGTAGTACAATACCACGGGGTTAGCCCGGAAAGATAGCAATAGCAATGCACCAGAATCCGCCGTCCGTCATTGCTCTCGACGAATGCCATGGAAATGATCGGCATGGTGGTGAAAATGCAGCGAGCAGTTGGCCCAGTTTCAGGTACCCGTGGAACTGCCAAATTTAGGCGTCCTGAAATGGCTCCTCGGTGCCAAGGCGCTAGGCGATAATGGGGGTAGTGCTGTTCGTGAGAACCCATCACACCCCTTCGAGAAATTTCATTGGCGTTCCTCGCCAGCCCCGAGATTTGGTTCCTCAGGGTCAGATTTCACGATTTACCAATGCTGCCGCATCGGCGACGGTGCAATCGGGACTAACGACGGGATGGGCCGACGCCAATGACACGACCTCCGGCACAATAGTGTTAACAGTGTACATAGCCATATCAGAGCTAGTGACTTAACTTCTGACTTATCCTTTTTTGTAGTCATTTAACGGCTCGAAGGCACATACATGATGTTGGTCACTAGAGTACGGGATAATCACCCTGGAAGCTTCGCGACGATCAAAACAAATATCAAGGCTTGTATCCATTCCCAAGCAACAAGCAACTAACCTTCACCTAGAAGCCCTGATAGTAACTATTGCTTGAAAAAATCCTTAATGTCAACGTCTTTGTCGAACACTCCCACAGCTGCAGCAGAGTTTCTTTGTGTTGTTACATCCCTGATCCGCTGGTTGACCTTTCCGACAACGCCCTCAGGTAATCCTACCAAAGCTCTTGAATCGTCGGAAGTTATGATGTTCACAATATCCTGGCCTGTCCGTTTGGAGCGCACTTGTGAGAAAATTACAGCAGAAGAGACCTGATCAGCCTCGAGGCGGCGTGTCTGCTCTTCAACTTCCTGAATGGCTAGGGTTCGCTGTGCACCGCCATCTTCTTCGTCGTCTGGCTCCTCCTGCAGCCCTTGCACACGGCTTTGTGCGTCACCCTGCTGCTTCTTGGTAAGATACATATGCTCTTGGATCTTTGCCTCGAGAGCCTGTAATTGTCCCTTTAGTTTCTCACGATCAGTCTCTGACGTCTGTTCGGAGCGGAGTTGAACGATTCTTTCTAGAGCGTCAGCATACATCCGCGGAAGTGATATAAGATAGCTGTCCTACAATTGGGTACTTGTGGCGGCGAAATGGACCGTAGCCTGGCAAGACTGGACCTGCATTCTGAATGTCCGGATTTTTTCTCTATTCCACACGCCGACTGAAAAGCGATCTCTAAGGGAGAGTTGTGTGGCGCCGGAATGTTTCGTCCATCGCTTCAAGTTGTCCGTAAATTTGGCACATGCCTGGCCGCAGTTGTTTACGGCTTCGACGACGCCAGTCTTCTCCAGATCCACTTTGGCTGCGGAATAAGTCGCTCGGTCGGATATAGTGAGTTCCTCCAGGGCAGTCAAAGAGCGTTGTACGCCCTCTAAGTTGGAAGCAATATCTCGTACTACTTCTTTAGCTTCAGCAAGATTATCAAGGAAATCATGGAGATGGACGATGCTGGAGATGGCAAATTGCGTGATGCCTAGAGTGCTAGCTGTAATACTAAGAGGATCCATGAGTTCCGGGTTTCGGCCTTAAGAGTTGGCGAACAATAGCTCGCAAAACCTGAAGAATGGTTATAGAAGAAGGGAGATGCTGCTCTTGGAGATGACTATTGACAAAGGGTGGTGAATAAGTATAGAGGACACAGCTGTCGAGGAAGACAACGGGCTATATTCTAAGGTGGGCGCTACTCTTCAGCGGAGATGCTGCGGGGGTTACAACATATCATCGTGCTTATCTCAGCTTGGGCTCAGACGTTAGCTACTCAAGCCATGACCCTAGTTAAGCTAAACCGTAACCAGATTAAACCCATGTTTAGCGTTAAAACTAGTCACGTGAGTGCAACTGTCTTGTGTAACGTCTGAGAAACTGTTGCGAATTTCCTGTGGAGTCGACGTGATGAGAATTGCTAGAATTGACGAGATATTCGAATAACATCATATGGAGAAGTTGAGTGGGCTCCAAAAGTTGATGAAATATAGATAAGGGTTTGTTAAACCGTCCTATAGCTTTTAAATATCAAACTGCGGGAACATTTTTCTGCAAAACAGCCCACAACTTGAAAATTAGCTGAGATTATGATCGTAATCGATTCTTCACACTTCATTCAATTATAATCAACTATTGCAGCCCTCTCAAATAATGGTTGGAGGGCGCATGAGGGGGAAAGGCCCGCAGGCCAAAGACGCGTCCCCGACGCGTCCCCAGCAGGCGGACCACCCACGACCCAACACCCGCAACGGAGT